CGTGCGTTTGTACTCCCTCGCGACCCGCAGCAGTCCCTCCACGCCCGCGTTCGACGCGCGCTCCAGGATCCGTCCGCCCGGCGTGTGCGCGCGCGATCGCGCGGGCGTCGGAAGCGGCGTCGCGCCGCCGCCGCCGCCGCCGCCGTCTCCGCTCGCGAGTTTCGCCCGCGACGCCTCGTCCTCCTTCACGAGCGCGCGGTACCGCTCGCTGTCGTCGAGCACGACCACGCCTTCATCCTCCTCCTCGTCGTCGTCGTCGTCGTCCTCTCTCGCGGAGGATGAGAACCACGGCGCGTCGTGCGCCCGCGACGCCGACGCGCGCGTCTCCTCTTCGGCGACCAAACGTCTCAACGCGACGACGAGCGCGCGCGCTTCGCGTTCGCGTTCCGCCGCGTCTCTCTCCGCGCGCGTCGTCAACTCGCTCCACGCGACCGCGGTCTGCGTCGCGGCGTCGCGCCGCGCGGACGCGCACGCGTCGAGCATGGACAGGACGTCGCCGTGTTTGTCCTCGCCGGTCCCGGGCGCGCGACGTCGCGGCGGGTCCCACGGCCGCCGCCGCCGCGGCGTCGTCGACGACGACGGCGGCGGCGGCGGCGGCGGCGGCGTCTTCGGGACTCTCTCTCTCGCGCTCGCCGAAACGCGCCGCGACATCCGCAGCTCCTCTTTCGCGCCCCGGAGCTCGTTCAGGAGCTCGCGCGTGATCGTCTCCGAGGTCTCGCCGTTCGCCGCCGCGGTCGCCGCGGCGGACGGCTTCTCGTCGTCGTCGTCGTCGTCCGCGGCGGTTTCGCGATCTAACGCCGCGAGGAGCGACGGGAGGTCCTCCACGCGCGTCCTCGCTCGCATCCCTTCCGTCCACACGAGGGTATCCGCGCCCACGACGCCCTCGCGTCTGAGCGCGCGCAGTCGGTCGAAGCTCGCCGCGGTCTGTTCGAAGGAGGAGAGAGAGGGAGAGGGTCGAAGAATGACATCATCACAGTCTGGTGGCGTTCGAAGACGCGCGCGCGGCCGATCGATCGAGACGGGAGACGAGCGGCGCCGCGCGTGCGAGCGCGAGCGGGTCGCGCACCGGTCGCGATCCCGCGACGGAAGAGCCGTAGAACCAAAGGCACGACTCCGGGGCGGACGCCCACGGCCGCGGCGGCGGCGACGACGCCATCCCGCGCGGCGCCTCCTCGAGTGAGCACCCGCTCGAACTTCCATAACCTTTCAAGCATCAGAGCGGTCGGTCGCAAAATGCTGAAATGTTGAACGCTCGGCTTGAACGGCGCGTTCGGCCCCAGATCGCGATCGCGGCGCCCAGGCCCGCGGCACGGCGCTAAGGGAACGCCACGCGCATCATGCCCGCGGCCAAGAAGCAAAAAACCGCCGATGGCGCGACCGCGCCCGCGCCCGCGGGCGCGGACTACGTCCCGCAGAACGTCCTCATCACCGGCGGCGCGGGCTTCATCGCGTCGCACGTCGCGCTTAGGTTCGCGAAGCGGTATCCGAGGTACAACGTCGTCGTCGTGGACAAGCTGGACTACTGCGCCAACTTGAACAACCTGCGCGAGATCGCGGCGCTTCCGAACTTCAAATTCGTGAAAGCGGACGTCGGCAGCGCGGATCTCATGACGTACGTCATGAGGGAAGAACAGATCGACACCGTGATGCACTTCGCCGCGCAGACGCACGTCGATAACTCGTTCGGGAACTCGTTCGAGTTCACGGAGAACAACATCCGCGGCACGCACGTCCTCCTGGAGACGGTCAAGTCACTCGGCGATCAGATCAAGCGCTTCCTCCACGTCTCCACGGACGAAGTCTACGGCGAGAGCTCGTACGAGCTCGACAAGGCGAACGTCGAGGCGGCGTCTTTGTTGGAGCCGACGAATCCGTACAGCGCGACGAAAGCCGGCGCGGAGATGCTCGTGATGGCGTACGGGCGGTCGTACAACCTCCCGTATCTCATCACGCGTGGGAACAACGTGTACGGGCCGCACCAGTACCCGGAGAAGGCGATCCCGAAGTTTATCATGCTCGCGAGGAAAGGGATGCAGATTCCGATTCACGGCGACGGGCAGGCGACGCGGTCGTACATGCACGTCGACGACGCCGCGAGCGCGTTCGACGCGATTTTGCATAAAGGGTCGGACAAGGGCGTGTACAACATCGGCGCGCACGAGGAGCGGACGGTGCTGTCCGTCGCGCAGGACATCGGAAAGTCGCTCGGCGTGGACGTCTCGAAGATGATCGTGCACGTGAACGACCGCAAGTTTAACGACCGGCGGTACTTCATCGACTGCTCCAAGCTCCACGCGCTCGGGTGGACGCAGAACGTGTCCTGGGAGGAAGGCTTGAAAGGGACGATCGAGTGGTACACGAAGAACGACGAGCAGAGCGGGTACTGGGGGAACCTCTCCGGCGCGCTCGTCGCGCACCCCACGGGCGGTCAGGTCCAGGCTGTCGTCGGGAACTTGTTCCAAAACGTCGAGGACATGCTCGAGGCGCACCCGCCCGCGCCAGAATCGGCGGCGGGCGAGAAGCCGGTCTCGTTCCTCGTCTACGGCAGGACCGGGTGGATCGGCGGCAAGCTCGGAAAGTTGCTCACGGAGCAAGGGCACCGGTGGTGCTACGGCTCCGGCCGCTTGCAAGACCGCGCGGCCGTGTTGAACGACATCAAGCGATCGAAGTGCACGCACGTGTTGAACGCCGCGGGCGTCACCGGCCGTCCCAACGTGGACTGGTGCGAATCCCACAAGGTCGAGACGATCCGCGCGAACGTGACCGGGGTGTTGACCCTGTGCGACGTCGCGCACGAGTGCGGCGTCCACGTCACGAACTTCGCGACCGGCTGCATCTACAAGTACGACGACGAACACCAGATCGGGGGCAAGCCGTTCACCGAGGACGACGACCCGAACTTTGGCGGATCGTTTTACTCCGAGACGAAGTCGTACATGGAGATGATGCTGAGGCACTACCCGAACGTGATGCAGTGCCGCGTGCGGATGCCCATCGACGGCGACCTTTCGAACCCGCGGAACTTCATCACGAAGATCGCGAATTACGCCAAGGTGGTGAACATCCCGAACAGCATGACGGTGTTGGAGGAGTTCGTCCCCATGGCGATCGAGGGCGCGATCCGCGGGTTAACGGGGGCGTACAACTGGACCAACCCCGGGGCGATCTCGCACAACGAGGTCCTCGAGCTGTACCGCGACTACCTTCACCCCGGATACACGTGGGAGAACTTCACGGAAGAGGAGCAGGCGGCGGTGATCGTCGCGCCGAGGAGCAACAACACGATGTGCGACAAGAAGCTTCGCGCGGCGTTCCCGGGCGTGCTCGGGATCAAAGAGAGCATCATCAAGTACGTCATGGAGCCGAACAAGGCGGCGGGGAAGAAGGCGGACATCAAGCGGGCGATCAAGTGATCCGAGAGGAGGGCGGCATGAGTTATGATGACGAACATTAATAATGTCGAGTGGACGTAGAGATGAGACGACTGTAACGTATTGCGAACTGACGAACAAAAAAACGCCGTCTCGACTCACAGCAACTCGACTGATCCACTCTTCTCTCTATCCTATATACGAAGGTAGCTCGCAGTGACACGTGTACTTTCGTTCCGCCGACGTCGCGGTTCACACCACGCCGCGCCCTCGACTCGCCGTCGACCGCGCATCCCACACGCGCGACGCGTCGTCGCCGCCGCCACCTCGCATCGCCTTCGTGATACGCACATCTCTCGCGGAGCAGCCCGCGCGACGTGAGCTCGTCTAACTAAAGCACGCGACGCCGCACGTAAATAATGTCAGCCTTCACGCTATCTGCGAACACCACGCATCTCGCGTCGGGCGTCGCCCTTCGCGGCACCGCGCTGCGCGCCGCGACGAAAACGACGCGCGCGCACGACGGCGGTCGCCCTGGCGTCGTCACCACGCGCGCGTTCTTCGGCGGGTTCGGCAAGAAAGCCGCGGCGGGGACGCCGTACGTCTGCATCGACTGCGGGTACGTCTACAGGGGCCAGCAAGGCGAGTTCAAAGACCTGCCGAGGGACTACAAGTGCCCGACGTGCAACGTGGGAAAGAACAGGTTCAAGGTGTACCGCGAGCCCGCGGCGGCGGGCCCGAGCGGCGGCGGGAACAGCGCGTACGCCGCGATGGCGGAGCAAAAGGCTGCGAACCGCGCGGCGATGGCGGCGAAGAAGAAGAAGGGCGGCAAGTCGCCGCGGGAGATCGCGCGCGAGAAGATGATCGCCGCGCAGGAGGAGAAGGACGCCAAGAGAGGGGGAGGGTTCTTCGGGCGCTGAGGGCGAAGCTGCGACGAGGGCGAAGAACGTGGACAGCGCGAACCCCCCCACCCCGTACAGTACGTTGTCACCGCAGCGCGAGCGCGCGCGTGATGCTCCATCGTATGTAGTTCCATTCGCATTCGCGTCGCTCGCGCGCTATGTTTCGTTAAAAACGCAACGTCCCGCCGCCCGGCCCGCGGCCCGTAGCCCTCCGCCACGCACAGCATTGCCGCTCACTCGAGAACCTTGGCGACGACGCCCGCGCCGACGGTCCGACCGCCTTCGCGGAGGGCGAACCGCATCCCCTTCTCCAACGCGATCGGGGTGATGAGCTCGAACACCGCGTTGACGTTATCCCCCGGGAGGACCATCTCGACGCCTTCCGGGAGGGTGATGGTGCCCGTGATGTCCGCGGTTCGCATGAAGAACTGCGGGCGGTAGTTGCTGAAGAAGGGCGTGTGACGGCCGCCTTCGTCCTTGTTCAAGACGTAAATCTCCGCCTCGAACTTCTTATGCGGGGTGATCGTTCCGGGCTTGCACAGCACCTGACCGCGCTGCACCTGGTCGCGCTTCAACGAGCGCAGCAAGAGCCCGCAGTTATCTCCAGCCTGACCTTCGTTTAAGGACTTCTTGAACATCTCCACGCCCGTGATGGTCGTCTTTTGCGTCGGGACGATGCCGACGAGCTCGACTTCCTCGCCGGATTTCACGATGCCCTGCTCGATCCTCCCGGTCGCGACCGTCCCTCTTCCTTGGATCGAGAACACGTCCTCCACGGGCATCGAGAACGGCTTGTCCAGCGCGCGCTTGGGCGCAGCGATGCTTTCGTCGCACGCCTTCATGAGAGCCATGATGGCGTCCTTGCCGAGTTTATCGTCGGTGCCCTTCAACGCGTGCAACGCGCTGCCGCGGATGATCGGGATGTTCTCGCCGTCGAACTTGTAGAAGCTCAGCATCTCGCGGAGCTCCATCTCGACGAGGTCGATGAGCTCGCTGTCGTCCACGGTGTCCACCTTGTTCAGGAACACCACGAGATTCGGCACGCCGACTTGCCTCGCGAGGAGGATGTGCTCTCGCGTCTGCGGCATGGGTCCGTCCGCGGCGGAGACGACGAGGATGCCGCCGTCCATCTGCGCCGCGCCGGTAATCATGTTCTTGACGTAATCCGCGTGACCGGGGCAGTCCACGTGCGCGTAGTGCCTCTTCTCGGTCTCGTACTCGACGTGCGCGGTGGAGATGGTGATCCCGCGCGCCTTCTCCTCGGGGGCTTTGTCGATCTGATCGAACGCGACCGAGGTGGCGCCGCCCACCTCCGCGAGGACTTTCGTGATGGCCGCCGTGAGCGTCGTCTTGCCGTGATCGACGTGGCCGATCGTGCCGATGTTGAGGTGCTCCTTGCTGCGCGTGTTGACGTCGTACGCGCGCGAGGACGTCCACAGCGCGGGCGGGGCTTGACGCGGGTATAACGCGGACACCCTAGCGCTGCAATCGTTTCGGATCGGAGACGGAGGCGAGGGCGGGGGGATCGCGAGCGAAGGTCAGCGACGCGATCGGAGGTGGGGGGGTCGGGGGGAGGGGCGATGGCGATCGCGGACGGGTCGATCGAAGCGCGCGTCGCGTCGCGTCGCGAACGCGCGCATCGAGGCGGCGAGGAGGGCGACGCCGTCGTCGGCGACGGTCGAAGAAGGATTCGTTCGCCCTCCTCTCGATCGATAGAAATTCATTCGCCCCGAAACGACGCGTCCGCGGCGCGCGACGGCGCGGGGAGCTTCTCGCGAGCGCGCACCTGACGTACGGCCGCGCCGCGACCTGCGCCGCTCGCGCGGCGAGTTTACGGAAAGCCATGATCGCGAACGCTCCGTGGGGCACCCGCGGATCGCGCTTCGGAGTGACGTCGATCGAACCGCCCGCCGCCGATCCGGTCGTCAGCCGCAGCCGCGCTTGAAGGTGCTTGAGTCTGGTCGCAGCTCAGGCCATTCCGTACAAAAACAGTTCTCCGGTCAGTTGAAAGGGGATGCGATCAAGTGTTGAAACCGGGCGATGGGTGAAAAACTTGTGTAAGAACGCACCTCATCAGTCTGGCTCGAGTCCAGTTGTCGCGCTCAAATCGGCCCTCGTCGGAGTCTCGCGCGCGGCGCCGCACGACGCGCACGGGTCGGTCATGACCCAGCGACTGAAGCGCAAGAGCAGAGCCGCGACGCAGGATGAGCCGGAAGACGTCGAGGAAGGAGCGCGCGCGTCTCGGGCGAAGGTCGCGAAGCGCGACAAGGCGCCGGCGAAGAGGGAGCGACGCGAATCCGAGGTCGAGGCGGGCGGGGGGCGAGGCGGGCGCGCGAGCGCGCGAGCCGCGCGAGCCGCGCCCGCGGCGCCGACGACGGTGAACCTCGTCGACGAGGACGAGGACGAGGACGAGGACGACGTCAAGCCCGAGATCGGGTTCGAGCAGCTGGTGCGCGCGTCGCGCGCCCGTCGTCGTCGTCTCCCGCGCGGTGCCAGCTCGCGCGTCGTTCGTCGGGTGCCAAGTTTTTCCTCGATCGAACGATCGATAGAACGAACGAACGATCGTCGCTGACGTCGCCCTCGCGTCCTCCCGGATCGAACCGCGTTTTCGTTCCGCAGACGCAGCAGTACCAGTCCCAGCTCGATGTGTACGATACCCAGGCGGTCGTCCAGAAACTCTCCGCGGAGGTGCGCGACGTCCCCGTCCGTCGAACGCGATCTCGAGGCCGCGTTTGAACCGGACCGAGCGCGCGCTTTCGTTTCGTTTCGTTTCGTTCCTCCGCGGCCGCCTTCGTCCCCTCCGTCCGTCCAACCCGCTGAGTGACCGTCCACCCGTCGCGCGCTGCATCGCATCGCATCGCATCGCATCGCAGGAGAAAGACAAGCTCGTCGCGGAGGTGATGCGATACGTGCTCTTCTCGCAGCACAAAGACGGCGCGCCCGTGCAGCGGTCGAAGATCAGCGAGCTGATCACGACGCTGTCGCCGACTCTGAAACGCGTCAACCTCGCGGGATACGTCATCGCCCAGGCGCAGGTCAAGTTCGTCAAGGTGTTCGGGATGGAGATGAAGGAGCTGTCGCGGATGGCGCACAAGAAGACGGGCAAGGACAGGACGAACGCGCCGACGGACCCGGGGAAGGAGTACATCTTGAAGTCTACGCTCCCGGCGGCGGCGAGAAAACGATGGGTGGACCGCGCGGAGGACAACGCGGCCAAGGCGTTTTGCATCACCGTGTGCGCGCTCGTGAGCATCTCCGGCGGGATGATCGAAGAGGACGCGCTGTGGAAGCACCTCGCGTCGTTGGGGGTGCACCAGGACGACGAGGACCACCCGAAGCTCGGGAACGCGAAAGCCGCGATCGCGCGTCTGTGTAAGCAACGGTACATCATGCGAGAGAAGGCGTCGGCGGGCGGGGGCGAGGACGGGCGGGATAGGTACGGGTACGTCCTCGCGGAGAGGGCGCTGGACGAGCTCGGGCAGGACGGCGTGGACGCGTTCGTGCAGGGGATCATGAAAGGCGCGGGGGACGACGAAGGAGAGCAGGAAACGGGCGCCGCGGCGTGATGAAGACGCGACGACGCGCGAGCCGCGAGCGACGACGGTTGCGAGGACGGACGGATGGACGGCGACGACGACGACGACGACGACGCGTTTGACTTCTCACCGATGGAATACACTTAAAATACACGCACGAACGCTACACTACCTCGGCGACTCGCGCTTTAACTCACTCGCGTTTCTTCGCGTCCACGTCGGCGACCGCCGCGGGCGCGTCCGCCCTGGGCGGGGCTTTCGGCGTAAACAGGTGGTACACCCCTCTCGCCAGCTTCCCCGTCCACAGCACCTGCAGCGCGCTGAAGAAGACGTTCGTGAGGAGCACGCTCGCGGTGACGTACCCGGGGTACTTCGCCGGGAAGTTACCCGCGGCGAGGACCGCGAGGCCGTCCTTCCATACCTCGATCGCGGTCAGGACCCAGAACACGTCGCGGACGAGCACGAAGCACGCGAGGAACGTCAGCTTCGCCGCGAGGTCGACGCCCGGAAAGCGCTTCGAGACGTCCGGGTAGTACTTCCCCGCGTCCACGAGCACGAGCGGGACGGAGGAGATCTCCGCGACGCCCATGAAGTACACGGCGTAGTAGTGCATGTACGGCATCGTGAGCGCCCAGTAGCACAGCAGCGCGGCGAGCGCGTGGTGCGCGAGCATCTCGGGGGCGCGGAGCGTCTTGTTGAAGAAGCTGACGCCGAAATCCCACGCCTCGAACGCGAGGTGCGCCTGAAGGACCCTCACCGCGCCGGGGCTCGTGGCGTACAGCCGCGCTTTCGCGGTGGTGAACGCGCCGAGACCGGTCGTCCACGTGGTGTACCCCTCGTACGCGCAGTACGCGAGCGGGAAGAGGCACGAGAGCTCGAACGCGAGCAAGAAGGCGCCGCGCGCTCGCATCGTCCGCGGGAACATCGTCCGCAGGATCGGGTGCAGGACCATGAACAGCGCGGTCATGCCGAACAAGATGGACGGGACGACGCCGTCGCCCCACACGAGGTCGTACGGCGTCGGCGCCGCGGGTTTCTTGCCCCACACGCCCATCGTGGCCGCGCGTTGATCGTTGTGAACGCAATCGCGTTCAAAAATCCGCGAACGAGCTGGCGGTTATCCCAGCCCCGATCACCCGAGGCCCAGCGGCGATCGCGGACGCGAGCGAGACGTCGTCTCTGTTGAATAAATCATTCTACGCGCGATACGCATCGCATCGCATCGCTCACATCTGCCGGCACCCAGCCGTCCCCGGCGAGTCCAACCGGTCGATGACGTCGTTCGGGGAGAACTCCCCCGCGTTCGCGATGCCGTAAAACAGACGCCGGCGAATCGCGGCTTCGTCCGGGGTTTCCCCGCCGCGCGCGACGGAATCGCCGCCGAGCGCCCTCGCGACATCCGCCGCGGCTCGGCCCACGCTCGCGTCCGCCGAGATCTCCGGGAGGAGCGCCTCGTCGAGCGCGACGCGCGGCGGGCGGCACGCCGAGGCGCGCGCGGCGCCGGCGCGCCTCCCGCCGCGCGTCTTCTCTCCTCCGCCGCCGCCGCCGTCGCCGCCGCGTCGGAACAGCCCTCTCCACCCGCGCTTCGCGCGCAGCGCCTCCGCGGCCACCATGAGCGCCTCCCCGCGATTCCTCTCCGAGCACAGCTCGTCGACGAGCGCCTCCTTCTCTTCCCTCAGCTCCTTCGTCGCGCGCGTCGCCTCGAACGCCTCGCGCGCGAGCGCGTCGCGCCGCGACGACGCCTCCTCGAGCGACGCGCGCAGCGTCCTCTCCACCGCCGCCGCGCGGTGCGTGGACGCCTGAAGCAGCGCGCCCTCCTCCATGAGCGCGCGCTGGGTCTCGTCCGCGCGCGATCGAACGCGCGCCACCTCGCGCGTCATCGCCTCCGCGCGATCGAGCGCCTCGCGCTCGCGCGCCTCGGCCTCGTCCGCGCGGCGCTCGGCGTCCTCCGCGCGCGTCTGAGGGTCGAGGGTCCACGCGAGCGAAAGTCGGGGTGGAGTTCAAAGGCGTCAGTTGAAGTTGAAAGGCTTCGAGGGCGGGGATTGAAAGCGAGGGGTGAGCGGAGAGAAACGACCGCCGGGAAGAAAAGTCCTTAAGAAACGGCGATCACCACGCGGACGCGGTCGTACGGGGACCAGTGTACAGATAACAGAACGCGCCTTGGTCTTTTCGTACTTGGCGCGCAGCGTCGCCGCCGCCGCCGTCGTCGACGCCAGCTGCGCCTCGCGCTTCTCCAGCGCGGTCGCGCTCTCCTCGAGTCGGCGCTGAAGCGCGTCGAGCAGCGCGCTCGACTCCGCGCGCGCGTGCGTCTCCAGCTCGAGCGCGCGCGTCAGCGCGACGCACCGCTCGTCCTTCGCGCGCAACGCCTCGGTCGCCATGGCGGACGTCTCGCGCAGCTCGCGCCGCGACGCCGCCTCCGCGCGTCGTAATCGCTCCGTCACCGCGCACAGCGACGACGCGAGCGCGTGCTCCTTGCGCGCGCGCGGGTTCAGGATGCGGCGGAGGATCGTCCCGCCGCCGCTCTTCGCCGCCGCGGACGGCGCCGCGTCGCGCGCGAATAAGACCGGACTCGACGTCGCGGACGTCGGCGTCGGCGTCGGCGTCGGCGTCGCCGCCGCCGCCGCGACAGTCGCGGTCGGGGAACCGCTGTCGCTCCCCGCGAACGAGAACGACGCGTCCGACGCCGCGCCCGGGGTCTCGACCGAAGACGCGGACGACACGGACGACGACGGCGCGCGCGGTCCCCGGCGGTTCGCGACGGCGCCGCGCGGCTCCGGCGACGGCGTCGCCGGCGCCGGCTCCTCCTCGCCGCGCCCGCGCGTCGACGCGACGGCGCGCATCGCCTCTTTCGCGACGTGCCTCCCGAACTTCCCGCTCCCCGGCGGCGCGAGCACCGCGGGCGACGCCGTCATCTCCAGTCCCGCGACGCGTCGCGCGTCGACGACCCACTCCGCCGCGGCGGAGGGCGTCTCCGCGACGAGGTACAGTCCGGACTCGGGCGTCGCCCCCGGGGTGGTCGCGTTCGGGCGCATCGATATCGCGACGTAGACGCACGCGCCGTCGTGCTCTTTGCCGCCGTGGAAGTTCACCGAAGACAGCGCGACGGACCTGGGAACGCGGAGACGGACGTTCGCGGTGACGCGGCGCGTGAGCGCGCGGGGGGACGACGGAGACGCGCGGCGCGCGGACGACGGAGACGCGCGGCGCGCGGAGGACCGGGAAATCTAATCGTTCGAGAACGGCTGGATGCGAATACTAATCGAATCTCGACGCCGCGGGGACGCACCGCACGTCGCGGACGCGGACGACCGCGCGAGGCTTGACGTCGAGCGCGTCGTTTTTCATTTCGAGCATCGTCCCGCTCGCGTCGAGCGCGATCCACGTGCGGATCCACCGGCGGATGTGCTCCGAGCGCTTCAGGAACCACCGCCCTTCGAACGCGGGGGTTCGTCCCCGCGCCGCGTCGCTCGACGTCCCGAGCGCGTCCGCGAGCGACGGCGCGGACACGACGTCCGCCGCGTGAGGCTTCCCGCCGACGTCGAGGAGCGACGCGAGGTCGGTCGGGACGTCCGCGACGGCACCGTGGACGTTCGTCATCGCCGCGGTGCGTGCCATCGCTGCGCGTCCGCGTGTGCGCGCGCGGACGGTCCCGTCCGAGGAAAGAACGACAACGGCCGAAAGTCGGCCGCTCGTATGAAGCCTCCACCAAAACCCCGAAAATCTCTCGCGGGCGCGCGCACTCCGCGCCGCGATGGCGACGCGTCCGTCGCCAGAGGACGGCGCCGGGGACGCGCCCGTCCCTTCGACGTCGTCCTCGGCGTCTCGCGACCCCGGGACGACGCTAGCGAGGAGGAAGAAGCTCTCCATCGACTACCTCCTCGAGGGCGAGAGCGTGAGGACCAATCCGTACCTGCGCGCGTTCGCGTCGTCCGCGCTCTCGGAAACGATGCGCGCGGACCCGAACTACAAGTCGTGGGCGAACATCAACGGGAAGGTGCTCAGGAAAGAGATCGCGGAGGCGTCCGCGGCCGCGGCGAGGGTCCCGGCCGCGATCGCAAAAGCGCGCGACGGGGACGCGCGCGGGGACGGGGGCCGTCCCCGCGGCCGAAAGAACGCCCCCGCCGCGACGCCGACGCCGACGGCGCTCGACGCGACCGCGCGCGGGGACGGCGACGACGCCGGCGATCCCCTCGGCGATGGCGCCGGCGTCGTCATCTTCGACCTGTGCTCCGGGAAAGGCTTCACGTCGCTCCTCCTCGCGCATCGATATCCCAAGGCGAGGGTGTTCATGGTCGACAAGTGCGCGAAGATGAATCTGAAACACTTGGACTCGCTGGCGGGCCGCGTGTCCTTCTCCGCCGCGGACCTGTACGCGCGCGACGTCGAGGTTCTCATCCGCGACGCGCTCGCCGAGCACGGCGCGAATGGGAGCTGCATCGTGGGCGTGCACCTGTGCGGCGACCTGTCGCGCCGCGCGGTCGAGCTTTTCATCGCGTGCGGTGTCGACGGATTAGGTGCGTTCTATACACTGGTCCCCATACGACCGCGTTGGCGTGGTGAACGCCGATCCTTAAGGACTTTGTCCCGCGCATCTCTCCGCCCACACCTCGCTTTCAATCCCCGCCCTCGGCGCCTTTCAACTCCGACTGACGCCTTTCAACTCCACCCCGACATTCGCTTGTATGGAACGGCCCTTAGTTTTGTCGCCGTGTTGTCTCGTGCGGGAGTTGAACGCGGGGAAGCGGCCGCGCGGGAGGTTCGGGTACGGCGTCGCGTCGCTCGCGCGGCGGAGCAACGTGGACGCGTACAAGCTGTGGTGCGTGTTTTTGTTCAATCACATCAGGGTCGCGATGGACGCGACGACGGGCGACGGCGGGGACGACGACGGCGTGGGGGGGGACGGCGCGGCGGCGGCGGCGGAGGCGGAGGCGGCGGCGGAGGCGGAGGCGGAGGCGGAGGCGCGCGGGGGACGACGGCGGCGGCGCGTGGACTTGAACTGGGACGAGGACATGATCAGCGAGAAGTGCGCGTTCTTGTGCGCGTCGCGCGGGAGCGTGCTGTGCGAGCCGTGCGCGTAGTGTGTAGCCGTAGTGACACTCCGGACGCGTGCAGCCCGCCCCCCCCCCTCCCGCCAAATGCTTCCGTACCAGAAGTAGGCACCCGCCCTTCTCGGACTCCGGTTTTCTCGTATCTAAAAATCAATGTTTGCGCGGGAGAAAGGGATCCCCCGCCGCGCTCCCCGCGCCATACAACGCGCCGCACGCGAGGATCTGCGCCGATCCCGCGCGTCGAACGCGTCTCGCGAACGACCTCGCGCGCGGCCGCGGTTCCCGACGCGGAGACGGCCCGCGGAGAGGTCCCCTCGCCTCCCGCGCTCGGGGACGAACATCATCGTGTTTCCCTAGACGAATAACCCAACGCGGACGAATCGTCGCCGCGCGCGATCCCCTTCGACGATCGTCGTCGGCATGACGCCCGCGGAGTCGGAGCGACCGTCCACGGACGCGTCCGAGGTCGAGCGCGAACTCCGCGCGTTCACCGCGTACGAGGCCGTCGCGCGGTCGATCGACGCGACGTCCAGCGTGCGCGACCTCCTGACCGTGAGCACGTCCTCCGCGCTCCTCGTGACGCTGCTGAAGCACTACGCCGCGCGATGCCTCGCGCCGGACGCGCTCGCGCGCGCGGACGAGTTCGACCCGGGGGACAAGGAGCACGGGAGCTTCCTGTGGACGACGCTCGGGGCGCTGACGAACCTCCTGAACGGGCCGGAGTTTGACTTCGACGACGGTGCGCGCGCGATCGCGCGATCCCCGATCCCCCCGCGATCGATCCTTCCCGCCGGTTCGCGCGCGAAAGAAGCAGATTCGGTCGATCCCCGCGGTCCCGTCCCGAAACCGCCGTCCCCGGTTCCCGCCGAATCCGCCGCGGTCGCTCACCTCGTCCATCCCCACCCCCGCACCCTCCTCACCCCGACCGACCCCGCAGACGGCCGCGTGCACGGCCACGCGCACGAGCCCGCGCTCGCGTGCGCGCAGATCACGCTCCAGAACGGCTTCTACCGAGGCGTCCTCGCGCCGTTGCTTCGCCGCGCGTTGACGCAGTCGGATCCGTGCGACGGCGTCCTCGACGCGCTCTTCTCTCTCCTCAACGCGCTGCTGTTCCAGAGCTGCGCCGCGAGCTCGGTCCTCGTGAGAAGCCACCAGACCGCGTCCACGAACCTGACGCGGTCCACCGCGGCGGAGTGCGTCGCCTGCGGCGTAGTGGACGCGCTCCTCGACGCGGCGGCGCGAGAGAAAAACCTACACGCGGCGCCGCGCGTCGCGCTGCACGCGTTGCGGACGCTCGCCGGCTACGCCGGCGGGCACGTCGTCGACGCGTCCGATCCCGCGGTGGAGGATGAGGACGAGGGGGACGAGGGTGACGAGGACGTCGCCGATGTCGCCGACGTCGACGCGACGACGTGCGATCGCGTCCGGACGGGCGCGACGGCGTCGACGCGGGCGAGGGCGCGGGGGGCCGCGCGGGACGAGGACGATTTCGGCGGCGGCGACAACGCGCGCGCGCTCGCGGAGAAGGGCGCGTTCGGGGTTCTCGAGAGGCTGATCGGACGGTTCGCGGCGAGCGGCGCGCGCGGTTGGACGCCGCCCGCGGCGAGCGGCGGGCGCGCGGCGACGATCGCGGAGGACGAGGACGCGTTAGACGCGTTCGCGTCCCCGCGGAAGCGCTCGCGGCGGGGCGGCGGCGGCGGCGACGCGGCGACGGCGACGGCGGCGGCGGCGGCGGCGGCGACCGGGGAATACTCGGCGAACGCGCGCGACGTCGCCCGCGAAGATGCGAGCGGCGCGTGTGGCGCCGCGGGCGCAGACGCGAGCGACGGCGAGCGCGTCGTGAACGCGGAGGCGTCGTACCGGCACCCCGGCGAGGAGCTTCTCTCCGCGGCGCTAAAGCTTTTGAAGCGGATGTTGAAACGCGTCGCCGCGCGGACGATGGTTCGGTGCGCGTCGAAAGCGACGTTAGTCGCGCTCGTGGACTCCGTCTCCGTCATCGCGCTGAACGTCAAGGTCGCGCCTGAACCTCGGTCCCAAGCACGCGCCTGCTACCTCGAGTTCACGGAGGAGCACCAGAGGAAGGCGATCAAGGTGTTAGACCACCTCGGGTCGATTCTGAAGAATTTCACGGAAGACGAAGGAGGGACGTTTTACCCGGCGGTGCGCTTGAAAATCAACGAGGCCATCTTGACGGGCATCGACTCGTATCTCGACATCACGTTGATCTCAGAGATGGATGGAAAAGTCAGAGGCAGCCAACAACGACTCTATGACCATGATCACGCGGAGATGAGATACTTCAGGAGGGAGCAGTACGACGAGAGACTCACCGCGGACGTCGTCGGGCGCTGGCTTCGTCTCGCGGCGAAGCACGCGCTGAGCTTGACCAAACCCGTCGACGAGAACGGCGAGAAATCGTGGGAGCGTCGCGAAGTGGATCCGCGAATGAAAACCCACAACATATACGCCGTAAGAGCTTGGCGCTCGTACGGGCAGCTCGGGCGGCTCAAGGGAAATCCGTTGCGCGACTGCGAGGACGACCGCTCTCGTCTCTGGATGGAAGAAACGATCTCGTCGTGGTCGGAAACCGATCCTGATGATCGATATGTGAAGTGCGTAGACGAAGCGATGCATCGTTTGACCCGCCTCGCGATCCACAGAGGCGTGCAGAGATGCGCCGTGGAGCATTGGCGAGTCATGTGCTGTCAAGCCGCGGCAGATCTTCTCGACGCGTTCGACGCCGGCGCGTTTGACGGGGGGCATGCCCCTCTCTGCGGAGGTTTCAGCTCCTACGCGGTTACTGTATTTCGAGGCTCGAACGGCATCGAATCGGCGCGAGACTCCGTCATGGACGTGCTGAAAGAACTCGCGGCGCGCGTCTTCGAGCGCCCGACGGAGCCCGTGGTATCCTGCGGCGGCAACGGGCGACTCTCCGCGGTGCACCTCGTCAACGTGATGACGAGAACGTACGGCAAAGAGTTTTACCGTCCGTTTTATCATGATACGTCCGAGTCGCAGTCCGAGAAGCCGACGCGCCTCGGCGAGCTCGTCGCCCCCGAGAGCATCGCGTGGGTCGCCGACGTCCTCGATCTCGTCGACGACGCCGCGCGCGTGAACGCCCGAGCGTCGTCACCGTCGCGAAAGACGCGGAGAGCTCCGGCGTGGCTCGCGCGCGCGCGCGGCGACGCGGCCGCGACGCGGCGCCTCGCCGAGTCGGCGTCGCTCGCGCTCGCCGCGCTCGCGGCGTTCATCACGCGCCTCCCGGCGGGTCCGGCTCGGCGAAGCGCAGACGAGCGCGACGACGATCTGTCGCGGCTGCGCCGCGCGAACCTCGCGCGCGCGTTCGCGACCGCGGAGCGAATGAAGCTGTGCCCGCGGGAGTCCGAGAACGCGTGCTTCGCGGAGGAGAGCGTCCCGCCGTTCCCGCCGTCACCGACGATCGATCTGTTTCGACGCGCGAGGGAGGCGATCGAGGACGCGCACGCGAGGGCAACGGCGGCGAAGACGGCGGAAGGGCGCGTCGTCGCGGTCGCGACGCCGGCGGCGGCGATGCGCGAGAAGGCGCCCGCGGCGAGCGCGGGCGCGGGGCGCGCGGTGGCGGACGTCGTCACCCCCGCCCCCGCGGCGTCGAGAACGACGCGGCGGCGAACGAGGAGTTGAACGACGAGACGACGAATGACTAGACTAATTTCATTGCATCATTTTCATTGTACTGTATCGTCTCACTCCTCGTCGCGCTCCGGGGGCAGCCCGCACGGCAGCAGCATCTTCTGCATCATGTTGTACTTCACGCGTCCGATGCTCTCGTTCTCCGCGAGCGCGAAGTACTGCATCATCGGATGGTGGCCAAAGTACGACGCGTAGCTGTCTCTGTGGATGTTCACCGCCCACTCGAACCGGTTCGTGTCCGCGTGACCGGTGCCGACGTACCTCGACTGCAGGTGCTCGAGTTGGCTGCGGGCGGGGGAGGGGGAGGGGGCGGAGGAGGTCAGGATCGGGGCGCGGATCGGGGCATTTTATTTTAGGGTTGACGAGCGCCGAGCGATCGTCGCGTGCGCGAGCGATCGCGCGGGTTCGGACGGCCGCGATCGCGATGCGCGAACGCGCGCGCACCTGTTGATGTTAAACCTGTCCGCCGCGGTCGCCATGTCGACCGATCCTTCGCGCGCGGTGCGTCGCCGTGCCCCCGCGAATGATTGACCGCTCGGCGTTCGTCTCTCGGCTCCGATGTCCGAGCAGACGACCGACCGCTGGCGGACAGATCAACGATTCGGATCGGAAAAACGCGTTTTATGAAACGCGTTCTTTTGTTCGGGACGAAACGACACTCCCTCACTCGTATGCTGCGCGCGCCGCAGACGACACACATCGGCACCGCGTCGAACCTTTCTTCCCGCATCAGCGCGAAGAGCCTTAGGTCTCGTCCGCGCGCCGCGTCCGCGTCCTTTCGCCCTCGACCTCGCCGTCGAACCCCTCGAGAAAACCTCTTAAAAAAGACTCCTCGACCCGTCGTCCGCGCGATGCTGCACGAGTCCGTCGTCGTCACCGAACGCGGCGCCGTGGGCGGCGGCAAAGCGCTGACGATCACGTCGTTCATCCCCAAGGGCGACATCGTGTGGTGGGAAGACCAAGAGACCGAGCCGGAGTGGGTCTCGATCCCGCGGTGCAAGCTCTACGTCGACTCGCTCCCGCCGCGCGAGAGGAAGATCTTCGAACATTACATGTACAAGGTCGGCGAAGACGCGTACGAGGCGCTCCCGGAGTTCGACCGGATCCCGATGTCTCAGTGGCAGCTCCAGAGCGAGGACCCGTCGATGTACATGAACCACTCGTGCGAGCCCACGTGCTGGTTCGAACCCACGAGGGTGGAGTGGGACGGCGTCGTCGTGATGACCGCGTCGCGAGATCTGCGTCCGGGCGACGAGCTCACGTTCGACTACGCCACCTCCGAAGACGCGGAGCAGTCGTGGAAGTGCCTGTGCGGCGCGCCGTCGTGCCGCGGGCGCGTCACCGGGGACGACTGGCGCGCGCCGGAGTTCCAGGCGAAGTACAAGGGCCACTGCATGCCGCACGTCGAGAACCTCATCGCGGGGACCGCGCGCGCCGACGGCGAGAACGAGTACTATTTCCCGGACGCGTTTCTCGCGCCGAAGAACGTGTCGTCGGCGCGCCACGCGCACCCGGAGGCGTTCTTCACGAAGGAACAGTGCCGCGCGCACGCGAAGGCGGTCTCGAAGAAGTACCCCCTGGGGCTGAACGAGACGCCCGAGCTCGGGACGTACGTCGAGTTCAACGGCCTCTTCGACGAGGACGGCGCGCCCGTCCGCGGCGGCGGCGTCATCCCCGCCGGGGAGACCGTCGTGTTCCTGCCCCCGAACGTCCTCAAACGCGACTCGCAGATGAAAGGCTCCGTCGCGGCGTACAACGCGTGCCTTCAAGTCCGCCCGTCGAAGCAGCGCCCTGGGGCGCTCTACTCTCTTAGCGAGACGCCGAACGACTTGGACAACTTCCTCAACCACTCGTGCGAACCCAACTGCGACGTGACGGTGTACCCGACCAACTACGCGATCAAACTCACGGCGAACCGGGACGTTCACCCCGGCGAAGCGATCACGATCGACTACGAGCACACGGAGGAGGACCTCATCATGCAGGGCGGCGCGTTCGAGTGCGCGTGCGGAGCGCCGAGTTGCCGCGGGATGATCGCCGGGTGGAAGCACCGCGTCTCCATGTCCCCGAAGACGCCCTCGCCGGAGCCGGAGTCGGAGCCGATCAAAACGCCGGAGACGGCGCCCGTTCCCGCATTAGCCGTAGCTACTCCCGTGGTCATGGCCGCCTGACATCTCGCGAGGGGTATCACGGCGCCGTCGCGACGCGAGCGCGCGCGTCAACGCGCAGTTGACGCCGCGCGCGTCGGCGAGCGGCTCTTCTTACTACTGTAGACTTTCCCACCGCGCGAGCGCCGCGCGAGCGCCGACGACCCCGACCGTCCCGCGCGCCGCGCGCGCGCGACGAGCGTCGCCGACGCGTCGAGCACGTAGCCTTGCGATGTAAATTTTACATGTTTAAAATCAAACGCACGGTGTCGAGGCGTTTCGTGACGTGTCATCTCTCGCGCTCGAACAGACCGCGTCCTCTCGAACAGACCGCGTCCTCCTCTCTCCACCCATTCAACGCCGCAGGATTTCGTCGCGTCGGACAGGAAACGAAGATCTGCTGAACGCTTGCTGTGCGGGAGGAATCAGTCTCCCGCACGCGGCCTCCGACGATCGCCCCTCGACCGTCATGACGCGCGGCCGCGGGATCGCCGGGCTCCGCGCCGCGATCCTCTTCCTGATGTGCTTGACACTCTCCTCCGCGGGCGTCGCGCGCGCGGCGCGCGCCGGCGACGCCGCGGCGCCGGCGCCAGCCCCGACGCGATCGCGATCGCGCGCCGACGACGCTTCGCCGAGATCGTCGCCGTCGCCGTCGCCGTCGCCGTCGCCGTCTTCCTCCGAGCGAGCGCCGATGGACGCGCGAGAGACCCAAACGCCGTCGGAGGACGACGACGACGCGGACGCGACGACCGAGCCGGGCGGCGTCGTGGACATCTCCGACTTCAGCGAGTCCGAGAAGGACACGCACGCGCGCGTGCTCGCGTCGTTCGCGGAGCGCTCGGGGGACATCTCGCCCGCGGGCGCGTGCGCGGCCGTCATCGCGGACTCGTGCGTGCCCTCGGCGATGCACCCGGATTTCCTCGCGCGCATGGCGATCGCGGAAGGCGACGCGGACGGGGACGTCGCCGAGAAGAAGAACGACGAGGTGAAGACCGACGCGCCGACGACCAAGACGACCGAAAAGACGAACGCGACGACGACGACGAAGACGACCGAAAAGACGAACGTGACGACGACGACGAGGAGCTCGAGCGCGTCGCCTTTGGCGTCGCGGAGTCTCCTCCAAGTCGCCGTCGGCCACCGCTCGTACTTTGAGTGCGTCAAGAGCGTCTCCGCTAAGGGCCCCGCGGCGATCACCCCCGCGTGCGAGAAGGATATCAGGGACGCGTACTCGCGACGGTTCGCGGACTTTCGTCTGGACTTTGACCTCGCGTCGGCGTGCGGCGCCGGCGACGACGCCGACGTGAAGAAATTCTGCGGCGACGTCGAACCCGGCACCGGGCTCGTGTTCCGCTGCCTCAAGTCGCGCAAGCGAGAGCTCTCCCCGGACTGCGCGGCGATCGTCGACGCGAGGCAGATCGACCAGAGCGAGGACGTGTCGCTGGACGCGCCGCTCGCGACGATGTGCGAGGACGACCGCGCGAATCTCTGCGCCGCGGTGGCGTGGGGCGGCGGCCGCGTCGAGCAGTGCCTCAAAGACAAGCGCGCCGCGCTCAGCCCTCGGTGCAAGAGAGAGCTGTTCCGACGAGAGGTGGAGGAGAGCGAGGACGTGCGGTTCGACGGGTTCCTCGCGCGCGCGTGCGCGGTGGACAGAGACGCGTTTTGTTCCTCGATTCCCCCCGGCGAGGCGAGGGTGGTCGCGTGCCTCGCGAACCACCTCGACGACGCGACGTTCACGCAGGAGTGCAGGTCCGCGATGGAGAGAAAGTCGGTTCGAAGAGCCGCGGACTGGCGCCTCGACTTTCGCACGCGCCGCGCGTGCGAGGCGGTCGCCGCGGAGCTCTGCGCGAGGGAGCTGGAAGACGCCGAGGACAAAATCAGGTGCGTTCTGTACAAATGTTTTTCACCCATCGCCCGGTTTCAACACTTGATCGCGTGGGTCCCTTTCAACTGACCGATGAACTATTTTTGTATGGAACGACCCTCAGCGCGTCCGGCGCGGTGTTGGAGTGCCTCAAGCGGAACCACGCGGCCGGGAACGTCACCGACGAGGCGTGCGCGGCGGACATCACGCGACGGATGGCGTCCTCCGCGAGCGACATCCGCGGCGACGCGGCGCTCGTCGCCGCGTGCGCGTCGGACCTGAAGTCGCACTGCGCGGAGGTGACGCCCGGAGAAGGGAAGTTATGGGCGTGTCTGGAGAAATACGAGAGCGTCTTGTCGCCGTCGTGCGCGGCGAAGCTCTCGGAGCGATCGCAGTGGGCGGGCGAGGACTGGCGCGCGAACCCGAAGATCGCGGCCGCGTGCGCCGCGGAGGCGTCGTCGCTGTGCGCCGACGTCAAGCCCGGGAGAGGACGCGTCGTGGAGTGCCTTCGCGCGGCGGCGGACGCGGAGGTGCGTTCTATACACTGGTTCCCATACGACCGCGTTGGCGTGGTGAACGCCGATCCTTAAGGACTTTTGCCGTCGTCTCTCTTCGCCCACCCCTCGCTTTCAATACCCGCCCTCGGCGCCTTTCAACTTCAACTGACGCCTTTCAACTCCACCCCGACATTCGCTCGTATAGAACGGCCCTGAGGGCGCGGGGATGGGCGCGGAGTGCGCGGCGGCGGTGACCGCGGACCGCGTCAAAGCCGCGGGGGACATTCGCTTCGACCGCGACGCGCGTACCGCGTGCGAGGACGACCGGGCGCGTCTGTGCGCGGACGTTCCGAAGGGGGAAGGGCGCGTGCTCAAGTGCCTGCGCGACGCGACGAGGGCGGGGAGGGTGAAGTCCGACGCGTGCGTCGCGTCCATGAGGAGGGCGATGAAAGCGGCGGCGAAAAACTTCGAGCTCGACGCGCCGCTCGCGTCCGCGTGCGCGGAGGACGTGAAGAAATACTGCGCGGGGGTCGCCCGCGGGCGCGGGCGCGGGCGCGTGCACGCGTGCCTGAAGAAGCACGCGCGCGACGTGAGCCGCGAATGCGCCGCCGCGAGGGAAGCCGCGGAGAAGGAGGCTGACTTTGTCGACGACGCGAGATCCCCGCGCGACGACGACGACGACGACGAGCCGCGGAAGATGGGGTCGGAGCGTTTCTGGGACAAGGCGTCGGCGAGCGCGGAGGAACGGCTCAAGATGAAGGGCGCGGAGATGTCGGACGAGCAGAAGGAGACGCTTCTCGGCGCCGTGGACGCGTTCCACGAGCGCGGCGCCGCGCGCGCGGCGAAAGGGTTGGACCCGGCCCCGCCGCCGATGCACTGGACGCGGATGCTGATGGAGGTGCCGTACGCGATCGCGCTCATCGTGGGCGCGGTCGTGCTCGTCGCCGCGGTCGTGGCGTACTGCGTCGTGCGACGGTCGCTGACGCGCCTCGTGAAGACGCACAAGAGCATTCAGATGTCCGCGAGCAGGAACAGGACGACGGCGCGCGTGTGAGCGCGGAGAGGGAAACGTTCGTAACGTCCGTATTGACGTCTCACTCGTATTGTTACACGCGACGACTGTTCTCGCCGCTCGCTTCGCTTTACTGTACACGTGAAAAAGAATGTCATGCCGTCGCCGGCTTCCGCGCTCGCTCGGATCAGTACTCCTCCATGTCCATGTCGTCCACGAACGACTCGTCCGCCCACCCCGGCCCGCCGCCGTCGTCGTCGTCGTCCGCGGTCTTGCTCACCGCCCGGCACGAAAAGTACAGTATGCGCTTCAGCTTCCGGTTGTAGAAGAAGTAGTTGAACGACCACAGGTTTCCCTCGTCCGTGAACGGATCCCCCTCCGCGACCGCCTTGTACGTGTACGCGTCGCAGTCGACGAGTCCGATGACGTCGTCGATGGATTTCCACAGCTCCGCGGATAAACCGCCCGACTCGGCGCCGCCCTCCTGCGCTTCGTACACCTTCGCGCACTCGAGCAGCAGCGCATCGATGTCCTGCTGCACCCTGACGACGCCGGTGTGTAAGTTTTCTTTCGTGAAGTGGTGCCCGCGCAGCGCGCTAAAGTCGTAATCCGGGTACGCGTGATTCAGCGTCAGGATGAGGTAGATGAGCGTCTTCCGCGAGGAGGGATCCGTGAGCGGGCCCACGGGGGAGGAGGATAGGTTCGAGGGGGACCCGGCCATCATCTCGACGACGTCCTGGTCGATGCTCGCGGAGAGTTTCTTGTCCACGCCCGCGAGTTTGCCTGTGCGCGGGACGGAACGAACGTGAGACTCGCGAACGAATGAATGAATATTCGGCAGAACGAGGCCGCGGGCGCGGTTTGAAACGACGACGGAAGCGCGTCGGGACGGTCGCGTTCGACCGGGTTCGTGCGCCTGCGCACATGAATACGCCTCGAGCTGGCCTATGACGGCGTAATCGCCGACGTTGACGTGGTTGAAGAACGCGTTGATCCTGCGAGGCGGAGGGAAGCGCGCGCGAGTCGTCAGCGTCGTTGTCTCTCTTCTCGCGCTTCGGATAGATTATTTTTGAACCGCGGCGTGGGGACGAGGTCCGCGCGCGCGGGGACACCGCGACGCGCCGGAGACGCGTCCGCGGCGGCGAGGCGAGAGGAAAGGCGCGCGGGGCGGGGTCGCACCTGCTCAGCGACGGGTCCTCGAGGAACTTCATCGTTCACGTCGACGACCCCGGCGCGTTCGAAAGGTCGCGCGTCCTGACGAGGACGCTGTCGCTAAAGTGAATTTGTTCAGGATAAAGCTCGCGGAGCTCACGCGCGTATCCTGTACACCTCGCGCTCCACCTCCCAAACGCGCTGCTTCGCGACGGAGAAGACGGTCACGTTGTGCCGTCGACAGCCAGTGATCATGGCACGCCGCGCGAGTCGGAGTGGCGTCCGCGACGCCTCGGAACCCACGAAAAACAAATTTCGCGCGAGAGTGCGGAGATTCTGCGAGATTATTTTCGTGATCGCGGCGAAAAAATGCGGGTGAATCCTTGCTTTGAATAATGTTCCTCGGATCGATCAACGTGAACCTGCGATTCATCGGTAACAGGACGTGAAACTCGCTGCGCTGCGTCTCTCGCGATCGCGAATGACATCCGCGGCACAGATGGAGTCGCCTCCCGACGACGACGCCGCCCCCGCGTCTTCCGATGCGGCGCTCCTCCCGGTCGGCCACCCGGTCCGCGTCAAGCGCGCGGGCGAGTGGCTCGACGAATGGGCCGAGATTCTCGCCGTGAAGTCCCCGCCGATCGCGGAGTCCCCCGTCGCGCGTTACGACGTCCTCGTCAAGCCCATGATAGACGTCACGACCGTGTCCGACGAGCGCGGCCCGGGCGTGAGGGACGGCGACGGGAACTACTTCAGGCTGCACACCGTGTGGTACGTGATCACGGACAAGCCGTACCCCGACGAGGTCGTCGAGCTGACCCCCGAGACCGACCCGGACGCGGAGACGAAGATCAGGGCGTATCAGAAAAAGTACGAGCAGGATGGGTTCATGCGCAAGCTGTACGCGGACGAGAAGCGGCGCACGAGCGAGGTGACCGTCAGGGCGCTGATGAACGCGGACGTGGAGAGAGTCGCGGCCGCGGGTCCGGGCCGCGTGGACGAGGTCTCCGTCCCCGTGGACGTGAACCTGTATTGGATGAAGCCCGTGCTCGAGGTGATGACGAAATATCGTCCCACCGTAGCGAAGGGCATGACCGCGGGCTGGCACAAGCCCGTGACGTTCTTCTTTCACACCGACAAGTCGCGCGAGGCGATGAAAAATAACTACGAGAAGGTGCTCATGCCCTCGTTCAGGGAGGGGCTCGCGCCGCCCGGCGGAAAGCCTCTCCACGGAGGCAAGCTGTACTTGGACGGCAAGCTCCTCGCCGAGGATCCGGAAAAGTGCGGATTCCCCGGGTACTGCTACGAGTACCAGCACGTGTGCGTATGGGCCGTGGACGAGCAGGTCCCTTTCGTGTTCGTCCCCGCGGGGCAGAACTACGACGCGGAGGCGTGGAAGGCGGTGTATCACGGCAGGCGCGAGCCGCCGGCGAGGGGATGCATGGACGCGTGCGTCGCGATGTAGTAAAACGGGTCTAGCTAGCGTCGCCTTCCCCTGCCTCCCCTCCCTCCTCCCCTCCCGCCGCCGCTGCCCGCGGTCTCGCCCGCTTCCTCGAACCGCGCCGCGCCGCGCCGCCCGCGGTTGTTCACTCGTTCCCCACCCACGGACGCGCCGCGTCCGCCCCCTCGCCCGCCGCGGCCGCCGCGGCTCGACGACCGGCCGCGCCCGCCGCGGCTCTCGCCTCGCCCCCCTCTTCCGATGGCCCGCGCCGCTTTCCTCGCGAGAATTTCCTTCCGCAGTCTCGCCTCCGCGACGATCTTGCTGCTCGTCGCGCCGTCCAGCGGGTTCCCGAGCTTGACCGCGACGTCGATCTCGCCGGCCAACACGCGGTCCTTCTTCGCGACGAGGTTGGTCACTTTCCCCGGCGCGCCCGCGCGCGCGGTGCGTCCGCTGCGATGCAAGTAATCGACCGCGTTCATCGGGAAGTCAAAGTTCACGACGTGGTCCACCTTCGACTTGGAGTCCCCGCCGAAATCTAACCCGCGCGCGGCGAGATCCGTGCACACCATGACGACGAGGGAGTTATCCTCCGCGGCGCCGCTCACGAACGCCTCCATGCTCTCCGCTCTCTTCTCCGACGTCATGTCGCCGTTGTACATCACCACGGGGAGCCCCGCCTCCACGAGCGCGTACTCCACAGCCTGGCACGACGGCATCGTGTTCGCGAACACCATCGTCTTCTTCCCCGCCCTGAAGTCGCCCTCGATGAGCTGCGTCACGACCGCCATCTTATCGATCGACCCCGGGCAGTCCACGAACTTGTGCTTCAAGTTTGGCGCCGCGCGGTGCAAAGACGGCGTGTCGATCTTCTCAATCCCGGGCAAGTCTTCTTCGATCGTCTTCACGACCTTGTCCGACATCGTCGCGGAGACGATCACGCAGCTCTTCCCCTCCGGCTTCTTCTGCAGCGGCCCGAGGAGCACTCTGATGTCGTCCCCGAACCCGGCTTCGAAGAGCGTGTCCGCCTCGTCGAGCACCACGTGCGTGACTCGCCCCAAATACATGTTCCCCTCCTTGACGTGCTTCACGAGCCTCCCGGGGGTGCCGACGACGACGTCCAACGACCGGTCGAGCTGCGTCCGCTGCGTCGCGAACTTATCTCCGCCAATCACGAGCGCGGAGGAGAACCTCGCGTGGTGCGACAGGCTCTTGGCGACGCCGGCGACTTGCTCCGCGAGCTCGCGCGTCGGGGAGACGACGAGCACCCTCGGTCGCTTCGGCCGCGCTCGGCCGCCGCCGACGGTCGCGTTCTCTTCTCGGCGTATGCGGTGGATGATCGGAAGCAAGTACGTCAGCGTCTTCCCGGAGCCGGTGTGCGAGGCGATCATGTAGTTGCCGCCGCGTAAGATTCGGGGAATGGCGACGGATTGGATGTCCGTCGGCGTCTCGAGCCCGAGCGCGTCTGTCGCGGCGCAGAGCTCGTCGTCCAGGCCCGTCTCCCGGAACGACGCCGCCGCGGCTCTCGCGCGGCGGTTCGGCGACTTGGTCTGCTTCGCCATGCGCTTCGCCGCGATCGCGAACGCGTCCGCGCGCGTGCGCGCGCCGCGAGCCATGAACGGCGACGACGACGACGCGAACGACGCCGCCGACGCGGCGAGGCCGCCGTGGACGCGGAGGCGCCCCGGAGCGGTCGCGGACGCCGCGACGCGCGCGGCGACCGCGCGGGGGAGGACGCGCGCGGTCCTCACGCCCGGGGTCGCCCACGTCGCCGACGCGAACGCCGCCGCCATGCCGACGCACGCGCTCGCCCGCCGCGCGATGGTGGTCTTCGGCCGCCGCCGATTATGTAAGGAGCGCTCTGGGCGGGTGCTCGAGTTCCGAGCGAGCGGAGTCGGTCGCGGCTCGCGCGCGCGGTGCGACGCCGGAGTGGACGCGCGGTGGAGGACGGAACTGCGCGACGCGACGGCGGCGCGCGCGGGTGGTGTGCGACGCGCGGGCGGCGGCCGTCCGCGCCGTCTCGACCGCGGAAAAGCGACGCGCTCCGGCTTTTTCGTCAATATCGCATTCCGCCACGTCGTTCAACAAAAAATGTTCATCGGTCAGTTGAAAGTGAGCGCGATCAAACGTTGAAACCGAGCGGTGGGTGAAGAACCTTTGTACAGAACGCACTGAAGCGACAGTCGCCCTCTGGTTGCCGTGACGTGTGCCACGATGGATTCAGAACGTCGCGCCCACAACACGCCGCCCCCTCCCTCGAAGCAGGATGGCGGCCTCCCGGGAGGTCGTCCTCCGCGTGGAGGGGATGACGTGCGGCTCGTGCTCGGGCGCGGTGACCGCGGCGCTGCGAGCGGTCGACGGCGTCGTCGAAGGTGCGCGTCCGTTCCCAGATCCCGTCGTCGTCCCGCCACGCGCCCGGCGCGCGCTCTTTTTCTGACGTCCGTCCCTCCCTCCCCCGTCGCAGCGTCCGTGTCGCTGACGGACAAGACCGCGACCGTGTCCTTCGACCCATCGCGCGCCACCTTCGAGTCCCTCCGAGACGCCGTGGAGGACTGCGGCTTCGACGTCCCGGTCGCGACGCGGGGCGGGGCGACGCCGGCGACGCCGGCGACGGCGACGTCGGCGTTGTTAATCGTCGAGGGCATGACCTGCCGCCGGTGCGTGGAGTGGGTCTCGCGCGCGCTGCGCTCCGTCGACGGCGTCGTCGACGTCGAGGTCGACCTCGAGACGAAGCGCGCGCGCGTCACCGGCGCGCTCGCGGCGCCGCGGGACCTCGTGCGAAGAGTCAACGACGCCGGGTACTCCGCGCAGCTGCTGCTTCGCGCGGACGCGTCGGACGGCTCGGGCCGCGTCGGGCTGAGCGCGGTTGACGTCGTCGTGCGCGGCGGTTTGGACGACGACGACGACGACGATCGCGAGAGCCAGACGACGGCGCTGCTCGGTCGCGGCGCGTCGAGTCGCGACGCGCAGGAGGTGACGCTCCGGATATCCGGCATGTCCTGCGCGGCGTGCGTCGCGAAGGTTGAAGAGGCGGCGAGGCGCGCGCCCGGGGTGGCGAACGCCGTCGTGAACCTTCTCGCGGAGACGGCGACGGTGACGTTCGAACCGCTCGCGACGCGCGACGCCAGCGCCGTCGCCGCGGCGATCTCGTCGTACGGGTACCAGTGCGAGGTCATCGACGCGTCCGGGCTCGCGTTCCGCGTCGGCGGCATGGTGTGCGCGTCGTGCCCGCCGCGCATCGAGATGTCCATCGGGCGGATGCCCGGCGTCTCCAGGGTGGACGCGAACGAGCTGCTCGGCAAGGTGGTCGTTCGATACGACGCGGAACTCGTCGGCGCGAGGACGATCATGGCCGCGATCGAGAGGCTCGGGTACGAGGTGGATCTGTGGGACGATCACTGCGGCGGTTCGCGCGGTTCCGGCGCCGCGTCCGCCGCGAGCGGGCACGCGGCGACGGCGCGGAGGTACAAGCGCGAGTTTTTTATCTCCGTCGTGTTCGCCGGGCCGCTGCTCGTGTTCATGATGGGGCTCGATCACATCCACGCCGTGCACGAGGCGATGATGACGGACGTTCTAGACGGCGCCGCGAGTGGTAACGGCGGGATGCTGCCCGTCATGGCGTTGATGGCGTGGATCCTCGCGACGCCCGTGCAGTTTGGGCTCGGGAGGCAGTTTTACGCGAGAGCGTGGAAGGCGTTGAAACAAAAGAGCGCCAACATGGTAGGGATCCCCTCCCTTCACCGGGCTCTGTATTCTGATCTCTGTCCGTTCCGTCTGTTTATACAACTCGCGTCGCGTTATGACTTGACAAACTACTCGGGCGTGTGCGTGTCTGACTGTTTTTTTGTGCGGGTGACTCTAACAAATGGACCTCCTCGTCGCGCTCGGCACGAGCGCGGCGTATTTTTACAGCGTCTACGTCGTGTTAGGGGGGATATTCGCCCCCGCGCTGACGAGCAACTCGTCGCAGTTCTTCGAGACGAGCGCGGTGTTGATATCGTTCGTGCTCCTGGGGAAGTGGTTGGAGGCGAGGGCCAAGGGGAAGACGTCGGAGGCGATTCGCGCGCTCGCCGCGCTGCAGCCGACGACGGCGACGCTGATCGACGTCGCTCTCGACGGCGGCGGCGGCGCTGGGACCGGGACCGGGACCGGTACCGGGACCTCGGGCCCCCTCGTGTTGCCGCCAGATGACGTCGCGCTGCGCGGATTGACCGCGGCGAGCGTTGGGGAGAAGAGGCACGCGCCGTTCCTCGCGTTCGCCGCCGCCGCGTCGAGGGCGGGACCGGAGCGCGAGACGCGAGTGGACGCGGCGCTGTTACAAAAGGGTGACGTCTTGAAAGTCCTCCCGGGGTCGCACTTCCCCGCGGACGGTCTCGTTCTCCACGGCTCGACCAGCGCGGACGAGAGCATGATCACCGGAGAGTCGATGCCGGTCGCGAAAGCGGTCGGCGACGCCGTCATCGGCGGCACGGTGAACAAAGAGGGCATGGTTTTGATCCTCGCGCGCGGCGTCGGCTCGGACTCGATGCTGTCGAAAGTCGTGAAGTTGATCGAGGACGCGCAGACCGCGAAAGCGCCGATTCAAGCGTACGCGGATAGGGTCAGCGGCGTGTTCGTCCCGGTCGTCGTCGCGATCGCGATCATCACGTGGATCGTGTGGTTCTCGCTCGCGTCCTCGGATTCGATCCCGGAGCGTTGGACCGAGCGCGAGGGCGACTTTTTATTTTCGTTCCTCTTCGCCATCACCGTGCTCGTGATCGCGTGCCCGTGCGCGCTCGGGCTCGCGACGCCGACCGCGGTGATGGTCGGCACCGGCCTCGGCGCGCGGATGGGCATCCTCATCAAAGGCGGGTCGCCGCTGGAGACCGCGCACGGGGTGACGCACGTCGTGTTCGACAAGACCGGGACGCTCACGGAGGGCGCCCCGGCGGTGACCGCGACGCGCGCCTTCGCTCGGGACGGCTCCGGCGCGATGGACTCCTCCGGCTCCGAGGGCGCGAACGTGAGAGACGCAGAACGTCGGACGCTGTGGCTCGCCGCGAGCGCGGAGGGCGGGAGCGAGCACCCGATCGCGCGCGCGATCGTGCACGCGGCGGTCGAGCGCCGCGCGAGCGACGACGGCGGGTTGGCGTCCCTCGCGTCGTTCGATGCGACCCCCGGCCGCGGTCTCCGCGCGACGTTGCATCATCGCGACGACGACGGCGGCGGCGGCGAATTCGGCGGCGGCGGCGAGACGACCACGGTCGTCGTCGGGAACGTGAAGCACGTCGTGGAGCACGGCGTCGAGCTCACGCCCGCGGAGCTCGAGGCGGTGCGCGCGGAGGAGGAACGCGGGCAAACCGTCGCCGTCGTCCTCGTCGCGGGCGCGTCGCGCCCGCGCGGCATCGTCTGCGTCAGCGACCCGGTCAGAGCGGAGGCGTCCGAGGCGATCGCGGCGCTGCACTCCAGGGGGATATCGACGTCGATCGTGAGCGGGGATAACTGGCGCGTCGCGCGCGCGGTGGCCGCGTCCGTGGGGATCAGGCACGTCATCGCGGAGGCGCTTCCGGCGGGGAAAGTGGACGCCGTCGCGGACCTTCAGCGGGACGGGCGCGTCGTCGCCGTTGTCGGCGACGGCGTGAACGACGCGCCCGCGATGGTGCAGTCCGACCTCGGGATCGGCATCGGCGCGGGCGCGGACGTCGCCATGGAAGCCGCGGGGGTCGTGCTCGTGCGGTCGAACCTCCTCGACGTCGTCGCCGCGTTGGACATCAGCAAGGTGACGTTCCGACGCATCCGTTTGAACTTGTTCTTCTCGCTCGCGTTTAACTCGTTGGGGATACCGATCGCGGCGGGGGCGCTGTACCCGCTCATCGAAGTCAGGCTGCCGCCGGAAGTCGCGGGCCTCGCGATGGCGTTGTCGTCCGTGTCCGTGGTCCTGAGTTCGCTGTCGCTGCGGTCGTACCGCCCGCCGATAGGGTCGCACTCGAGGGGGGACACGTCGTGAGGGAGGGAGGGAGGGAGGCGATCGCCGCCGCCGCGTCGACGCGTCGATCTATGCATTCTTTTGAACTACAGGTAGACTAAGACTACGTTATTTTAGACTCTACGCGTACGCGGGCGGCGTACAGTACGCGTAGTGTACTCATCGAACGAGGAGAAAATCCTCGAGCATCGCGCGCATCCGCGGCGGCCACCGACGCACGTCGCGGACGTACGCCGCGTCTCTATAATTCTTACATCCGACGTTCGTGGCGCACGCGCTCGTCCACGCGTCCTCCGCCGCGGCGGTCTCTCCGCCCGCGTAGAGCACCGCCGCGAGCGCCGCGCGCGCGTCCGCGACGTTCGGCGCGCGTCTCGCGACGTCGCGCAGCTCCCTCGTCGCGCGCGCGTCGTCCGTCCCGAGCTGCGCGAGCGCGAGCGCGGCGTTGGAAGCCGCGTACACGGCGCCGTCCAACCGCGGCGTCGACCGCACGCCGCTCGCGCTGCGAAACCCTTTCGACTGCTGAAAGAGGTCGTACGACTCGAGGAAGTCGTCGCGCGCGCCGGCGTAATCCCCGAGCTGCGACTTGACGCTCCCGCGCGAGTTCAAGACGTACGGGTCCGGGAGGAACCCGCCGTCGGACGCAAGCGCGAGCGCCGCGTCGTCGTCTTCGAGCGCGCGCTGCCAACTCTTCTCGCCCTCGTGCGCGAGCGCTCGGTTCGCCAAGTACCGCGCGCGCGCGCCCGCGTTCTCCGCGGTCGGTCCAGCGCCAGCCCGCGCGAGGAGCGACGTGTAGTCGTCGATCGCGTCTCGGAAGCGGCTCGCGTCGACGTACACCTGCGCTCTTCCCTCGAGCCAGATCTCGTTGGACGGCTCGAGCGCCATCAGCGAGGAGAGCGCGTCGGACGCGCGCTCGAAGTCGCGAGCGTCGTACGCGTCCGCCGCCTCGCGCTGAAGCGACGCGATCGCGCGCGCGAGGTCGGGAGCGGACTCGGACGCGGACGAAGACGCGGACGACGCGGACGAAGACGACGACGAAGACGCGAACGGCGCGACGACGAGCGCGGCGGCGAGGAGATCCCGCCGCGTCCGCGCGACGCGCGACGCCGACCGTCGCGGGCCCGGGACGCTCGACTCGGACGCGGCGGCGCGCGTCGCGATCGTCGCGAAACGACTCGCGGTCGCGAGCGCGGAGGCCATCGCCGCGCGAGGTGTGATGAGCGCGATCTCGCGGCACTCGGCACTCTCATCAGCTCGCGTCGTCGTCACGTTTTCTAGTCTAAACTCTGGGCGTCGTCCACTCGGTAATCGAACGGCGCGTCGTCCCACTTCGGCGTCAACCCCCGGCACACCGGCGCTTCCGTCGGTCTCCACGTGCTCTCCCTCCACGCCATCATCTCCTTCTTCGCGCTCTCGTCCCCGAGCGCCTCGAGCTCGTCCCACGTCAAGTTCGTCGGCAGCGCCTCCGCGTGCGAGACGGAAATCTCTCGCTCTTTTTTCATCGCGCGGTGCAGCGCGGCGGGCAAGCCAACCTCGAGAAGATCCCTCGCGCGCGTCGCGAGCGTCCTGGCGAAGTCCATCTCCGCGAGCCCAAACTCGGCGACCAACGCGTCGGGAGAGCTCGCCGCGAAGTGCGCGAGGCACCGCCTCAGCTTCGGCTTCAGTCGCGTCTCGCCGGACGCGCCGACGTGGCAGCGGTAATCCAACGTCGACAACGCGCCGCCGCAGCGCGTCGACCGCCGCAGCCGCCACGACTCCAACGTCCCCGGGAGGAACAGCGACGACACCGCGCACAGCCGCCCGTCCACGACGGGACGACCGAGGCTCGGGTCCCACACCTGCTGCCCGAGCAAGCCGTCGTTGTCGATGAGCGTCAGCCGCCCGAACGCGTCGACGTAGACGTTCTGCGTGTGCCGGTCGCCCGCGCAAAACACTACGAGTAAGGGGCATCAAAAAAAGTTATAAATGAAGTTATACTGTAAAAAGAGTTGTAAATGAAGAACGCACCAAAGTCGAACAGCGCCGCCTCCGCGACCGCGTGGCTCGGAATCTCGCGCAGCATCTCCGCCGCGGCGCCTCCGCCTCCGCCTCCGCCTCCCTCCTCGAGGTCGCACAGCGCGCTCAGCGCCACCCCGGGCGCGGGCGAGCTGAAGATCCCCCGCTGATCGATCGGCACCGGGTCCGGGTGCGCGCTCCGCGGGTCCAACGGCATCCCCGCCGGCGCGACGCCTCGCACGCGCGCAACCCACGACCGCGTCGAGACCGACTCCAGCCCGCAAAAGTCGGACAGACGCTGCAGCGACAGCGTGTTGTTCACCAGGCGGTCCTCCGGTTCCCACGGCTCGCCGCGCGCGCACTCCGTGCCGTGCCTCGGGAGACCGGGGATGCAGACGAACTTCACGAACGGCTTCGCGTCGGCGTCGGTTGAATAGTTCGCCGCGCGCAACACCGACGCCGCGGACGCGCCCTCGTCCCTCGGCACGGCCGCGTTCGCGGAGCTCGCCAGGCTGACCTTCTGGTTGATGCGCGCGAGGTCGAGGTCGCACGACCCGCACGGCGCGTGCCCGCGGCAGTCGACGTCGCTCTCCGCCGCGAGCGACGCCGCGGTCCAGTTCACGACGCACCCGTCGCAACGCGCGCAGAACGGACGGTCGTCGTCGTCGTCGTCGCGCGTCCGCGTCCGCGTCCGCGTCCGCGTCCGCGTCTCCTCCCTCGTCGCGCCGCCGTCGCGCGCGCGGAACGCCTCCGCGATCTCGCCGTCGCTGTTTCCTAATCTACCTGTGCCCACCTCGTCGCGCGCCGTCATCGTCGTCGTCGCCTTCGGTGGCGTCGCGACGCGCGCGTCGTCGTCGTCGACCGACGCGTCGTCGTCGTCGATCAGCTTCTTCGCGGTCCCCGCGCCCGCGAACGGCGTCCATCCCCCGCCCGCGCGTCGCGGCGGCGTCGGCGCCGGCGCCGCGACGACGGCGAGCGACGACGCCGCGAGGAGCGCGAGGAGCAGCGCCGCGGCCGCGGGACCCCGCGGCCGCGTCCTCCCCCCGCGCGCCATCGACTGACGAGATCTCGTCCCCGAGACGACGATGTCATTTCGAACGCGACGATAATAATCGCCTCATCACTCGACGAGTCGCGGAGGCCATGGGCGCGCGAGGGTCCAAGGCGAAGAAGGCGAAGGCGAAGGCGAGGCCTCGCGCGCGCGACGTCCTCGCCGCGCCCGCGCCGGCGCGGAGGCCGAGCCGCTCGTCCGCGGAGCCCACGTCCGGCGACCGCGTCGCCTCGGAGCGCCGAGCGTCGAGCTCGGCGTTCGACGAGATCGACCACCTCGGGGACGCGGACGACCGCGACGACGTCGTCGTCGGACGACGGCCGAGCCGCGGACGCGGGAGCCGAGGCGCGCGGGGGGGAGCTCGCGGGGACGACCGCGTGCGGCCGCCGGTCGCGGCGTGGGGAGGCGCGGACGACGCGCCGACGGACCTACTAGGCGGAGAATTAGGAATAGCAGACGACGACGGCGCCCCTCCGCTCGCGCCGAGGCCGGGGTGGTGCGCGTCCAGGGACGACGACGCGCCCGCGGCGGAAACGGACGACGACGCGAACGCCGCGACGAAATGGCAGCGGCGGAAGGAGGAGGAGCGACGACGGCGCGAGGACAAGCGCGTTGCGGCGCAGCAACGGCAATCGAAGCGTCAGCCGCCGACGACGCTGCGCCGTCGGACGTCGGCGTCGTCGACGGGGTCGGGCGACCCGCTCGACCTTCTCTCCCCGCGCAGCGCAATCATGCACCTGGACGACGTCCCGCTGTCCGACTTCGACGACGCGGACGACGAGGGCGGCGGGGAGGGGGGGAGGATGCGACCGAGCAGCGGGAAGTTCACGCCGGCGAAGAACCAGCCGCCGGACGACGGGCTGACGCCGATGGAACGCGCGATGAAACGCGCCGCGGAACACAGGGCGGCGCGTGAAGCGGACGCGGCGGCGGCGGCGGCGGCGGCGGCGGAAGAGCACGACGGCGGCGGATTCGGCGGGCGTGAGCGGGAAGAGCCGTACGAGATGCCGCGACGTGGCGGCGGCGGCGGCGGCGCGCGGGACGCGGAAGCCGCTCCCGCGGCGAGGGCGGCCGCACTCGAGGCGAGGGCGGTCGAGTTGGAGCGGAAGCTCGCGGAGGTGACGCGGCAGGCGGACGAGGCGATGATGCGCGCGGAGGACGCGGAGAGACGGGCGATGCGCGCGGAAGCGAGGGCGGCCGTCGCCGGAGGCGGCGGCGCCGCCGCCGTCGCCGCGGCTCGCGCGGGCGGCCTCCCGCCGCCGCCGTCGTGGCTCGCGACCCCTCGCGCGGACGACGAGGACGAGCTTCCCGCGTACGGTCGCCGCGTGAACCGCCCGTTGTCGAGGGAATCGCCGAAGCCGTCGTCGCCGGCGAAGGAGGCCTTCAAGCTCGACGAGGCGCTGGACGACGTCTTGAAACGCGCGGCGAAAAACGGCTCGTCGCTCGAGGACATGCTGTCAGGTGCGTTCTATACACTGGTTCCCATACGACCGCGTTGGCGTGGTGAACGCCGATCCTTAAGGACTTTTCCCGGCGCATCTCTCCGCTCATCCCTCGCTTTCAATCCCCGCCCTCGACCCCTTTCAACTCCAACTGACGCCTTTGAACTCCACCCCGACGTCGCTTTGTATGGAACGACCCTCAGTGCTGACCGCGCGGCAGTCCGCGGTCGCGCGGCGCGCGGGCGGGAGCGCGAATGGGAAGTCGCCGCCGCACGTGCAGAGGGAGCCGGCGCGGGCGTCCGCGCCCGCGCCCGCGCCGGTCGGCGGCGGCGTCAGGAGGGGATTGTACGACCGCGTCAACGGCGGCGGCGGCGGCGGCGAACGCGAGGACCGGTTCGGGTTCGATAAGCTCGTCAGGGAGCCCGGCTTCGGGATGGAGGCGGACGCGCGATACAGAGACGACGCGCCGCCGCCGGCGCCGCGAGCGCGAGGCGGCCGCGCGTCCGCGCCCGGCGGCATGGGCGACGCGATCGGTTTGGGCGGCGGCGACGGCGCCGCCGTCGGCGCCATCGGAGACATGTCCAAGGAAGTCGCGCGCATGAAAAAGATGACGAAACAGTCCATAGATAAGGAGCGCGCGATGTTGGACAGCCTCAACGCGCTGCGACGCGCGAGAGACGCGAGCGAGACGCGCGTGAGGGACCTCGCGAGGGAGCTCCAGGAAGCGCAGAAGGACACGAAGGCGTGGGAGGTGGAGGAACGCTCGGCGATGCGGAGAGTCGACGAAAACAGCCGCGGCGGGCGCCTCAGCCTCCGCGACCTGCCTAACGGCGGCGTCGGCGCCGGCGCCGGGATCCAAGAGGCGTCCACGCCGCGCCCCCAGGAGAGAGCCGGATCCGCGTACGGCGCGAAGCTCGAGCGGTTCTCCGCGTCCGACGACGGCACGGAGTCCGACGGCGGCCTCACCGACCGCTCCGACGCGTCCCTCGCGTCCGCGCGTCGTCACGGCGAGCACCCCGTGTTCAGCAAGATACGGCACGGGCGCGTGGACGCGGTCGGCGTCATGCTCGGCGAGCGCGGCGACTTCGACGCGAGCGCGCGGGATAGGTTCGGGAACACGCCGCTGATCGTCGCGTGTCAGAACAACCGGAAGAGGATCACGAAGTTGTGCGTGAAAGCCGGGATACCGTTGGACGCGGTAAACGCGCAAGGGAACAGCGCGCTGCACTACTGCTACTCGTACGGGTACTTCGAGCTCGGCGAGTACTTGGTGACTAAGGGCGCGAACCCGGAGGTGACCAACGCCGCGGGGCTGACCCCGCGCGAGACGCTGTCGGAGGACCAGCTGCGGCTGTTGGAGAAGACGCGCGCGGAGGTCGCGCGGAAACGGTCCGGCGCGGGGCGGGGCGGCGCCGGCGCCGGCGCCGGCGGCGCGCGGCGGGTCACCCCCGGCGAGAGCGGGACGGACTACAGCATGAGCAGCGGCGGGGAGAGCGACGCGAGCGGCGACGGCGGCGGCGACCTGGACTCGTACAGAGAGCTGTACTCCGCCAGGGGATAGACGATAGACGACTGACGTACAGTACGTGTAGCGGCGAGAGATACAAAATCTGACTACTGAAATGCACGGCATCGGAATCTTCCCGCGTGCATAATCCGACGCGTCGCACCGCCGCCATGGGGGATAACCGCGGCTCCGCGACGCGCGTGTTCGTCGGCGGCTTAGCGTGGGCCGTGGACAGCGCGAGGCTCGGGCAGCGCTTCACCGAATTCGGCCCCGTGGAGTTCAGCAAGGTCGTGTACGAGAGCGGAGGCCAGCGACGAAGCCGAGGATTCGGGTTCGTGAAGTTCGCGACGACGGAGGCGAGAGATCGCGCGGTGAAGGACGGCGACGGCATGGAGTTCGACGGGAGGAGGGTGAACGTCAAGGTCGCGGACGACATCGACGGATCAGACCATCAGAGACCGCCGCCGCCGCGCGGCGGGGACGATCGCGGCGCCGCGCCTCCGCCTCGGTATCCGCCTCCTCCCGAGCGAACGATCCCGCCGGGCCCTCCCGAGCGCGCCATGGACTACCGCGGCGGCGAGCGACGACGCGACGACTGGGGCGCCCCGCCGCCGCGGCGGGCGTCCTACGACGAACCGCCTCCGAGGGAGCCGCACTACGGAAGGGGGGACGACCCGCGCGGGTACGACGCGCCCCCGCGCCGCGAGCCGTCGTCGTCGTACGATCGGTACGAACGATACGACGATCGACGCGCGTTTTCGCGTCCTCCGTCGCGAGACCGAGACGAGCAGCGCGGAGAGCGCGGAGAGCGCGGAGGCGACCGACGCGACTGGCCGCGCGACGCGTACGACGACAGACGAGGACCGGAGAGACCGCCGCCGCCGGCGGGGTACGACCGCGCGTACGACCGGGACCGGCCGCCGCCGAGGGGGGCGCCGCCGCGGTCGCCGCCGAGGGGGCCGCCGCCGCGGTCGCCGCCGAGGCGCGCCGCGCCGACGCCGTACGATCGCCCATGGTGATGAATGAATGATAATGATACATTACATGATCAGATCAGACGGGCAGACGCCGCCCGCCGCCCGCGTGTCTCCTTTCCTTCGTTCGTGCGCTACTAGTGTGTCGATACTACGTCTACGTCCAGTCCGGGGTTCCGCCTTCGGGAGCGCTCCCCGGACGGGTCCCTCCCCGGGTCGTCTCTCCTCGTCACTTCCCCGGCGGCTCGTTCTCGGTGATCTCGCGACACCGCAACCGGCACCGCTCCGCGTAGACGCCGATATCCCGCAGCGACGGCCGCTTCCCCGGGTCCTGCTGCAACATCGCCGCGATGAGCTGCTTCAGCTCGTCCGAGAAGCACCCCGGCAGCGGATCGTATTCGCACGACGTGATGAGCTTCCCGAGCGTGTAGTAGTTGAGCCCGTCTCTGAAAAACGGATTCCGCAGCGCCGCCAACTCGTACAGCAGGCACCCCAACGACCACACGTCGCTGCTCCACTCGTACGGCTGCCCTCTGATGCACTCCGGGGACATGTAATACGGCGTCCCGACCATGCTCTTCGCGACCGCGGTCTTGCTGCTGAAGTACCTCGAGAGCCCCAAGTCCCCGAGCTTGACGACGCCGTCGGCGGTGAGAAACACGTTGCCCGGCTTGATGTCTCGGTGCATGACCCGGTGCGAGTGCATGTGCGTCACCGCGCCTACGAGCTGTGAGAATATGCTCCAGATGTCCCCCTCCGACAGCGGCACCCCCGCGGTCCCGCGCTCTTTGATCAGGCTCGATAAGTCTCCGCAGTCGCAGTAATCCAGCGTGATGATCAGCTCGTTGTTCTCCACGAAGGCATCCGCGTACTGAATCACGTTCGGGTGACACAGCGACTGCAAGAGCTTCACCTCGTTGACGCAGTCGCTCCGCTGCTTCGCGTCCATGATCTCGTATATCTGCACCTTCTTCACCGCGACCGTCTTACCGGACGGGAGGTGGACGCCCTTCCACACCGTGCTGAACTTCCCGCTGCCGATCACCGAGTGCAGCTGCGCGCGCGACGGGGACGGGGACGGGGGTGGAGGGGCGGAGGGGAGGTGAGGTGAGCGGTGAGAAGAGAGGAATTAAAAAAAAGTCAGCGGGGGCGCGGGCTGCGTTCTGGCGACGATCGCGCGCGCGCGCGGCGTCGCTCGCCGCGAGGTCGAGCGCGCGCGGCGTCGAGTCGCGGCGCGGGCAGAAGACGCGAGGAAGGGAATCGAGCGCGAACGCGTGCCTGGTACTCGTCCACTCTCCCCGTCGTCGTCGCGATGGCGCCGGACGTGAGCGTCGACGAAAGGTCGCTGTCCACGTTCGCGTCGTGTATCGTTGACCCGCCCTTCCCGCGGACGCTCTGCGACATCGTGCTCGCGTCGAGGTCTCTGATCTGCGTCGCGGCGACGCCCAGGGTTCTCGTGGAGTCGAAGAGCGTCATGCTCGCCCGTCGCGCGCGCGCGACGGGGACGTCTCGCGGCGCGGTCGCGAAGCGACGCTACGCGATCCCTCGCACGGGGGTAAGGCGGTGACTTTACCCGCGGGCGCGATCGAAGGACCGACGCGCGCGCCGCTCGACCCCGCTCGCGCGCGTTCTCTGCGGTCGCGCGGTGGTCTCGAAGTCTTCGACTTGAAGACGCGAGCGCGCGCGCGTTCGTGCGGGAAAGTCGTCGGACGCGCGTGCCACGCGCGCGTGTCCTTTCGCGAGCATCAAAAGCCGCGTGAGCATCAAACGTGGGTCGTCTCCGACACCGCAGGCAGAAAAATATCTCTTCCGAGCATCCCATTTTCTGACTGTTTGCTCTGTGCGTACACTAGGGCCCTACTGTATTTTTGTACGCGACGAAAATCTCCCGCGTGATCCGCGGTCCCGCGTGATCCGATCTATTGCAGTGATGACGGGGCCGCTCGCCTGCAATGCTTCCAGTTCGCGACGCGCGTCTCGGTCCCCCGTCGACCAGGACGCGAACTCCAGGACTCGAACGCGCGGAGCGCGGAGACGAGAAGCCGTTCATGGCGACGCCGACGCTCCCCTCCGGTGCGTCCCTTCTCTCGCGCGTCCGCTCGTCCTCGACCTCGCGACGAGCCGTCACGGGTCCGAATTGTGAATCCCGAAACCACCCTCACCAGTCACCACTCCAATTCGTCCCTAACGCGTCATACAGACCTCGAGCTTCGCAAGGCGGAGGCGGAGAAACGCAACCGCGCGGTGTGGAAGTACATCGCGCCGGAGAACGACGTCACGCCGACGTGGTCGTACGGCCAGGAGAAGCTCGCGTATTACCCCCCCGCGCCCGGGACGATCGACACGAAGCACCGAAAGCAGTCGGGGGAGTTCATGCAGTTCGCGAACAAGGCGCTCATGCTGGGGGTCGACCTGAAGGCGACGTCCGCGGGGGGGTCGAGCGGCGGCGCGAAGTCTCGGACCGCGCCCGGGGGGGGCGAGAAGAAGTAGGCGTGATGACGAGTAGAGGTCGCGATTCGCGAGATAGCAACTAGGAGCGCGTCGTCGCCGCGAGGGCGCGAGCGAACGAAATAAAACTAACTGGCCGTTTTCGCGTGTCTTCCGCGCTCGCATCATCATCCCCCTTCGACTCCCCTTCGAGCGTCGCCAGTTCGAAGCGCGCGACGGCCGCGCACGGAGACGATGAGCGCGAGGAAGTCCATCCTCGCGAGCACGACGCGGAGCCGTCGCAGCCGAAGAATCGCGAACCTGGAGGACGACGACGACGCGACGCGCGCGGACGCGCGGACGGACGCGGAACGTCCCCCCCCCGGGGACGACGACGAAGATCTCTCTCGACGGTCGTCCTCCTTCCCGCGCGGGCACGTCTCCCTCGGCGCGACGTTCCTGTGGACGCTCGTCGCGGTCGCGATCGCGCTCATGACGAGCGTGAACAGCGTGACCGTCGTCCGCGGCAGCGCGGCGTACGCGTCCGACGCGGACGCGCGCGCGCTCGCGGGGCGGATGCGACGCGTCGGCGACTCCGTGGACGCGCTCGCGCGAGCGATGACGCTTCACGCGGGGAAGCGCACCCCGGAGCGCGATTTGAACGCGGTGAAGCGCACCTTGAGCACGCTGACGACGAAGCTGAAGGCGCAAGACGCCGCGATCGCGAAGGCGGCGAAGAGCGGGCCCGCGCCGCCGCCGACGCCGCCGCCCGGGCCGACGCGGGGGGACTACGACGCGATGACCGCGGGGAACGAAAAAGAGTTCGACGCCATCAGACGCGCGCTCGCGGAGGACGACGCCCGCGACGCGAGCGCGAAGCGAGAGCTCGAGGCGCTTCGCGAGGAGCTTCGCGAGGCGAGCGCGAAGCGAGAGCTCGAGGAGCTCAGAAAAGCGCTCGCCGCGGTGGAGAAGACGGCGAGAGAAGCGGCGGCGGCGGCGGCGGCGGCGGCGGCGGCGGCGAAACCGGCGCCGGCGCCGGCGAGAGATGCGGACACGAACGAGTGGCCGAAGAACGCGGCGGCGGCGAAGGACGTGGACGCGCTGAGGAAGGAGATGGGCGCGCTCGCGAAGGAGGTGGCCGCCGCGAAGAAAAAGGCGGCGCCGGCCGCGCCCGCGCCGCTCCCGAAGAAGGAGCTCGACGCGCTGCGGAGGGAGCTAAAGGATGAGATCGCGAAGGCGAACGCGAAGGCGAAGGCGACCGCGGACGCCGCGGCGAAAGCCGCCGCGAAGGCGGCGTCGAGGGCGGGATCATCGGGCCCCGCGGCGGCGTCGGACGCTGCCGCGGCCGCGGCGGCGGCGGCGGCGGCCGCGAAGGAAGTCGACGCCCTGCGCGCGGAGGTGTCGGCCCAACTCGCGGCGTTGAGCGCGTCCGCCGCGGATGCCGCGAAGGCGTCGTCCTCGGGGCCCGCGGCGGCTTCCGACGCCGCCGCGGCCGCCGCCGGCGCCGAGAAGGATATCGAAGCCCTCCGCGCGGAAGTCCGAGCCGAGCTCGTGGCGTTGAGCAAACGAGCGTCCACCGCGGACGTCGCCGTCGCCGCGGACGTGGACAAAAAGCTCGACAAAAAGTTGGAGTCGTGGAAGGGCAAGCCGATGGTCACGCGGACGCACGTCGCGGACGAAGTCCGCGCGCAGCTCGAGCGGTTCAAATCGGATAAGACCGGGCGCGTGGACTACGCGCTGTTCAGCGGCGGCGGCAAGGTTGTCGGACACAGCGTGTTATCTCCGCTCGTGAGCGCCGGGGATGGATTCGGAACGAAAGCGTTGAAGAGCCTCCGCGGCGGCACGCACCCGAAAGCGGACGAGTGGGTGATCACCGCCACGACGCAGGCCGCGGGCGAGTGCTTAGCCCTGAGAGGTAATCGCGGACACGTGGACATTCGACTGCGAGAGGCTGTCCACGTGGACGCGGTGACGATAGAGCACGTCCCGCGCGGGGTGGCGTACGACATCACCTCCGCGCCCAAGGACGTCTCCGTGCTCGGGTGGAACCGGACGAGGACAGCGCCGGCGAAGAACAGCGACGCGCTCGCGGCTTTGGGGTCGTTCCGGTACGCCGTGGACGCGAGCGCGGGTTCCCAGGTGGGGTCGACGCAGACGTTCGCGCTGCGAGGCGGCGGCGGCGGCGCCGTGGATCACGTCCGGTTCGAGGTGCGCTCAAACTACGGGAACGACCGCTGGACGTGTTTGTACCGGCTCAGAGTGCACGGAACCCCGGTCGCGAAGCCGCGCGAGCCCGTGCTCGACTAGGGTTTAGCGACGACCGGACCGATCGACGAGGTAGGTCGTCGTGATGTGAGCATGATAGTAGTATGCGAGTATTTATTATAAATATAGAACGCCTCGTGTGCGAGCGTTACAGTACGTCGCTTTTATGCGAACCACGTCTCCGGCGCGGACGCCGGCGCGTCCGGCGACGCGACGATCTCCACGACCCGCTTCGACGCCTTATCGCTGAGCAGCGCCTGGACGCACACGGCCGCGACGGTGTCGCGGCTGATCTCCCTTCCCGGGTCGCTCTCCAAACCGAACGTCGTGTCCTCGCCGCGGACGATGACGTTCCCCACCGCCGACTCCGGCTCGTTGGACAACCCTCCCGGCCTGACGACGGTGTAATCCAACCCGGACGCGCGAAGGTTCAGCTCCGCGGCGAGCTTCTCGTCCAGGACCCCCCCGAGCGCGTTCAGAAACTTGTAGTTGTCGTTGTCCTTCTGCCCCGCCGCTTTCGCGTTCGTCAACAGCGACGTCACGAGCACGAACTTCTTGACGTCGCTTCCCGGCGCCGTCGCCGCGGCGACGAGGTTATCCGTGCCCTCGTGGTCCACCTTCGCCGGGTTGTCCCTCTTGATATTGAACGACGGCGTGAACCCCGTCGCGCACACGACCGCGCTGACGCCGCTCATCGCGGCGGCGATCGAGGACGGGTCGAGGACGTCCAGCTGCACGAGCTCCGCGCCGGACGCGGCGAGGCCGAGCGACGACGCTTTCTTCACGTCTCGCGACCCCGCGCGAACGGCGAAGCCCTTCGCGCGGAGCTGCGCGACGACGCGGCGGCCGGTCGCGCCGGTCGCGCCGACGACGAGGACGACGCCGTCGGACGGGGACGCGAGCGCGGCCGCGAGCGCGGGAGACGCGTCCGCGAACGGCAGCGTCGACGCGAGCGCGGCGGTGGACAGCAGCAGCGCGCGTCGTCGACCGACGCCGACGCCGATCTCGACGATTGGCTCGGGCTCGGCGTCGCGCGATGGCGCGTCGTCGGACGCGACGCGACGCGTCGAGGTCGCGGCGCGCGCGAAGGCGCGGACGCGACGGCGATCACGAGCGGCGAGGCATCGCGGTCGTCGGGACGACAGAGTCGCGGCGGGGGCGGCGAGGGCGGCCATCTGCGCGAGGGAAGTGTCGAGCACGGTCCCACGTCATCCGGTCTCACTGCGGAACGGAACGGCCTGGCGTCGAAGTGGAAGAAGCTGATGAGCTGTCTGCTGGAAGAAGAGATTTTCGCAGCGGGCGCGCTCTCTTTTTCTCACAGTGGACTCGACTTTATTACAATAATTTGAAGAGTAAACATTTCACGGCGCGGTGGGTACGTCCGATGGACGCGCCCCACGCGTCGCCGCGCCACCGCGTATGCGCTATGACCTAAAGGCGGGGAAAACTACAGTTGGTTTTTTTTCGCAGTCTCGAAGACGTCGCGGCTCGTCAGTCGTCGTGCGACGACGAACATCTCAGAGAGTATTTAGAAGAGGGAGGTCTTCTTCATGATGCGGAAGAACTCCTCCTCGTTGACCTCGCCGTCGCCGTCGCGGTCAGCCTCGTCGATCATCTCCTGAAGCTCCTCGTCGGTCATGTTCTCGCCGAGCTCCTTCGCGACGCGCTTCAGGTTTTTGAACGAGATCTTGCCGGTCTCGTCGTCGTCGAAGAGGCGGAACGCTTTCATGATCTCCTCGCGGGAATCGCGCTCGCCCATCTTCGCGGTCATCATCTGAAGGAATTCCTCGAAGTCGATCGTGCCGGAGCCATCCTTGTCGATGTCCGCGATCATCTTCTTGATCTCTTCCTTCTTGGGTTCGAAGCCGAGCGCGCGCATGGCGACCTTCAGCTCCTTGGCGTCGATCGTGCCGGAGCCATCCGTGTCGAAGAGGTCGAACGCCTCGCGGATCTCCTGCTTTTGCTCCTCGGTGAGGCCCGTGGAGCGGCCTTTGCCCTTATCGCGGCGAGCGGAACCAACAGCCTGATCGACGATGGGCGGGCGGGGAGAGGGAGGGAGACGTCAGCGGCGGCCGAGAGGAATGATCGAGAGCGGGAGGAGGGACTGGATTCCGTCCGTTGGCGCGCGACTCGCGCGGCGTCGGACGCGCGCTCGCGCGCGCGTCCGCGCGCGCGTCCGCGCGGAACCCTCGCGGGTTCTGTCGATTCGACGCCGTTCGCGCGTGCTCGTGGACCCGAGCAGACGAACCGCGCGTCGACGCGCGCGATCGCGCGGTCGACGGCTCGCGCGGACGCGTCGACCGAGGGGTCGTCCCGTCGCGCGAAATCGAATTATGACTGAGAACCCGCCAAACGCGCGTCCGGATCGCCCGCTTCGACGTCGCGCCGCGCGACATCGACGGCGGGAGACCCGGGACGATCCACGACGCGCGCGCGATCGATTAAACGCGCGGGAGAACCCGCGACGCGATCGTCGTGCGCGCGCGCTCGAGCCCGCGATCCACGGCCCGTAGTCAACAACGCGATGGAATTACCCGACGCTTTGAAAATCGCTTCAAACGTCGTCGGACTCCTCCACGCGCGCGACTCCCCCGATCGAAGATCTACGAAGGACGCGCTCGTTCGAGCACGGACGCCGCGATCGAAGACGCGCGCGCGCACCCAACGGGCGCGCGCGCGTCTCCGCATCGCGGACGCCCCGCCGTCGTGCGAGAAACCAGTGCCCGGCGAGAGAAAAAAAAGCCCCGCGCGTTCGGAGACGCCCGGAATCGCCCCGCGCGCGGGTCGCGCGCGCGGGACGGAACCCTCCGGAGATCGCCGCGCGCGCGATGAGAGTCGTGCGCCTTCACGGCACGTACCATTTTGTTTACGTAAAAGGTGTGGGGGTAGCGTGCGTGCGGAAGACGCGCGGTGGAGTGTGTTGCGCGGGAAATGCATTGCGTCCCTACGGTGCGATTTTTTCGAGTTCGTACGCGTGGACAGTCTGCGAAAAAAAAACACCCGGGCATTTTGAAAAAAGCTCAGCCGCGCAGAACGCGCTGATTGGCCAACGGCCCCTCGCAGGCGGAAACTGACAGGAAGTTGTTGTTGACGGTGCGGTGCGACCTCGATCGAAAAAAGGCACTCCGCTCGCGCGCGTCGTCCGCGCGTCGTCGCGGCGTCGGCGCGTCACACCGCGCGAGACGGCGGCGAGGTCGATCGAGGCGGGGATCAGAGGCGCGTCCACCCTCGCGCGTCATGCCTCCCAAGGGCTCCGGCGCGGGCTCGAAGGGCGCGGGGGATAAAAACTTGAAGAGCAAGTCCCCCGCGGAGTTTTTCCAGGACAACAAGGGCATCGCCGGGTTCGAGAACGCGGGGAAATCGCTGTACACGACGCTGAGAGAGTTCATCGAGAACTCCTTGGACAGCGCGGAGAGCATCGGGATGCTCCCGGAGATCAACATCTCCATCGAGGAGGTGACGCTGACGCAGTACGAGGAGCTGATCGGCCTGAAGACGCACGTGCGGCAGGACGACTCCCTCTACGCGGACTTCGAGACAGAGAAGGAGAAGACGAAGCGGCTGAAACAAGAGGAGAGGAAAGCGAACGCGGCGGCGAAGAAAGGCGGCGGCGGCGACGGCACGAGAGTCCCCGGCGGCGGGAAGAAGGCGTTCTTCAGGATCACCGTGGAGGACAACGGGAAAGGGATGGCGCACAACGACATCCCGAACATGCTCGGAAGGGTCCTGTCCGGGACCAAGTACGGCGTGCGTCAGACGAGAGGGAAGTTTGGGCTGGGGAGCAAGATGGCGCTGATATGGAGTAAGCAGACGACCGGGCTGCCCATCAACATCACGAGCGCGCAGCCGAACCAGAAGTTCATAAGCAACTACGTGCTCGACATTGACATCGAGCGGAACGAGCCCAACGTGCACAAGGAGGAGAAGACGGACAACGACAAGAACTGGAACGGCGCCATCTTGAGCGTCATCATCGAGGGCAACTGGAGCGCGTACAGGAACAAGGTGCTGTCGTACTTGCGGCAGATGGCGATCGTGACGCCGTACGCGCAGTTCAACTTCAAATACGTCGGCGCGACGGATGCCAAGGGGAACGTGGACGTCGTCTTCCGCAGGAGGACGGAGGTGATGCCGACGCTGCCGACGACGACGAAGCACCACCCGTCCGCGGCGAAGGAGAACCAGCTGCTGATTAAGGACCTCCTCTCGAACACGCGAGAGAAGACGCTGCAGAACTTTCTTCAGAAGGAGTTCACGTGCATTGACAAGGCGCACGCGGGGCGGCTGATCGCCGAGCTCGGGAAAGGGTTCGACGCTCAGATGCCCCCGAAAGAAGTCACGGACACGCAGGGGACGCGCATCCAGCAGCTCCTGTCGTCCGCGCGGTTCGCGGACCCGGACGGCGGGTGCTTATCCCCCGCGGGGGAGTACAACCTGCGGTTAGGGATCATGAAGGAGCTCTCCCCAGACTGGGTCGCATCGTTCGTCGGCCCGGCGCTCGCGTGCGCGGGGCACCCGCTGATCGTCGAAGCGTGCGTTTCTCTGGGGGGGAAAGACGTCAAGGCAGGGTTCAACGTGTTCCGGTTCGCGAACCGGATCCCGTTGCTGTTCGAGGCGGGGAGCGACGTCGTCACGAGGTGCGTGCAACGTCTGAACTGGGGGTCGTACAAGATCGACAAGAACAACGACAAGATCGGCATCTTCGTCTCGATCGTGTCCACGAAGATTCCGTTCAAAGGGACGTCGAAGGAGTACATCGGGGACGATAACGTCGACATCGCGGAGGCGGTCGACCGCGCTATCCGAGCGTGCGCGATCCAGTTGAAAGGGAAAATCTCCAGAGCGCAAGCGGCAAAGGAGAAGCGCGCGAGGAAAAAAGTTTTACAACGGTACATCCCCGACGTCTCGCGCGCGATCGCGGGGTGTCTGAAGGACTCCGCGGCGTTCGCGGAGCCGCCACATAAGCGGGCGAAGAACAACGCGAACGCGGGGACGCTCTGGGAGGTCGACCTCGCGTGGGAGAAGGAGATTCTAGACAAGGTGAGAAACGGCCAAGTCACGGCGGCGACGCTCGCGCGGAAGCTCGAGGACTTCGTCGAGTCCATGGACAGCGAGCAAGCGCTGGAGCACTCGATGCAAAACAAGGAGGGGCTGACCGATGCCGTGCACCTGATGAACGTCGGGGGGTCGCACGAGTTCGCGCCGATCGTGTACCACCCCGCGCTCGCGTTTAAAGGGTTGAAGGCGAGCGTCTTAGGGAAGCACCCGCTGCGGTGAGGCGAACGACGCCGGCGGCGAACGAACGATTGAATGAATGATTTTTTTCGTTTCGTTCTATTACGAGTACAGATCCCCACCCCAAACGCGCTACAGTACAGGTCCATCACCAGCACCCCGGCGCGAACTCCGTCGGGTTGTGATACGACCGCAGGTTCCATTCCGTCGCCACCGAAAACGGCTCGGAGATCTCCGGCGCCTTCCCTTCCTCCACCTTTGCGATCTGAAACTTGTTCATCATGCTCTTATCCCTCATCACGCACGCTTTCAAGCAGCTCTCCATGAGCGTCCGCGCGTCCTCCTCGGACATGTCGTCCGAGTGCTTCTCCCGGAACAGCGGTCTCGCGACGTGGTTCCCGAACCCGGCCGCGATGTGCGAGTCTTCGTAGTGCTGCCCGATCATGCCCACCATGCCCAAGAAAATCCGCCCGTTCTTCACTCCCGCGACGACCAACGAGTTCCACAGCGGGTCGAACTTGTTCCGGCGGTTGTACATCACGCGCGTCAGGTACGAGTGAATCTCCATCGGCGAGAGCTCTTTGCCGTCGTCCTCGCAGAAATCCGTCGTCGAGAGCTCGTTCAGGAGGGTCATGATGTAATCGAAGTCCGACAGCTCGCCCGTGAAGCCGATGATCGTGGTCGAGTTCACGACCTTCACGCGATCGATGGACTTGTACCGCTTCGTGGAGCCATAGCTCGCTGTTCACGGGGGAAGGAAACGAGGAGGGGAAACGTCAGATCCGCGCGTCCCTCGGAGGATCTGAGATCGCGCGAGCGAAGACTTTTTAGGGTTGCGTCCGCGCGTCTCGAGCGCGCGGATCCGTCGACGAGCGGGGACGCACCGAGGGTATCGCACGCGATCATGACGCCACCTTTGTACTTCATCCCGAGCACCGTCGTCCCGGTGACGTACGGCATCTGCGTGTTCGTGTTCGGCGTCGCGGGCTCGACGACGAACGGACGCCCGTTGCCGTGCGACGCGACGTGCCGCGTCGGCGCGCCGTGCTTGGCGTACTGCGCGTCGTACGCGGGGTCGACGCCCATGGGGACGACCCCGGGGCCGATGATCGGGTTGTGCGTCACCCGCGTGGGGATCATCGTGCGTGCGGGAGGTGGAGCAGCGACGCCGCGCGCGATCCAGTGGCGTTCAAAAAGAATCAGACGCGCGCTCAAGCCGCGTTCGTTGTTGGTTTCGAGCGATCTGCAGGTGCAAGCGCACACCCTCCCGCGCGGAGAACGCGGCGCGGATGGCGTCGCCCGCGGCGGGGACGTCCCCGCTCGCGGATATCCTCGCCGCGGAGGGATGGCACCTCGACGCGAGCGCGATCGCGAACGCGGCGAGGGCGTCGAAGGGCGACGTCGACGCCGCGCGCGCGCGCCTCGCGAACGCGGACCTTCGCGCGGTCGGCGTGGGATGCCTCCCCGCCTCGGTCGCCGCGAAGGGCGTGAGAGGGCCCGCGGTCCTCCAGGTCGTCGACGCGCGCGACATCTCGAGACCCGCGCGCGGCGGTGGCGGCCGCGACGAGATCGAAGGAGGACGGACGGACGGCGGCGGCGGCGGACGGGGGCGAGGAGGACGCGGAGGAGGAGGCGCGTCGCGGAGGAGGCTCACGCGATGGGAGCTCACGGACGGCGACGCCGTCGTCGTAGGGATCGAGCACCGCCCCGTCCCGGGGATCCCGGACGACATCGCCCCGGGGGCGAAGGTTCTCGTCCCCGCGGGCGTCGTCGTCCGCGCCGAGCACGGCCTGCTGCTGTTCGGCGGCGACGACCTTCGATCCCTCGGAGGACGCGTCGAGACGCTCGCGGCGACGCACGAGGCGCGCCGAGCCGCGAAGGGGATGAACGCCGGCGACGCGACCGCGGCCGTCGCGAGCGCCGCGCCGAAGTTCGAGCCGTACGACCCGCGCGACGCCGCGGCGGCGGAGGCGGCCGCGATGGAAGGGAGGTTCGCCGCCGCGAGGGCGGCGGAGCGCGCGAAGGCGGAGAAGGCGGCGGCGCCGGCGAGGCGTCCGGCGCCGGCGCCGGAGGCGCGGAGGACCGCGCCCGAGGCCGAGGCCAAAACGGCCGAGGCTGAGGCGTTCACGCCGCGGCAGCGTCCGAAGCTGCCGCCGACGAGGGCGGAGCGCGAGGCCGCGGCGGCGGGGACCGCGACCGCGACCGAGACCGAGACCGCGACCGCGTTCGTCCCGCGCGAGAAGCCGGCGTCGCCTCCGAAGCGAACGGAGGCGACGAACGCGGTCGCGGCGCCGACGCCGACGCCGACGCGGAGCGGTCCGCCTCCCGGATTCGCGCCGGAAGCGCCGGCGGCGATCGAACCGGAACCGCTCGTCAGTTCGAGCGCTGGGATCGACCACGCGGCGCGAAGGCTTCGTCTTCTCGAGCGGTTCGCGGACGACCGCGATCGCGGCGATCGCGGCGGCCGCGGCGACAGAGACAGAGACCGCGGCGGCGGACGCGGGCGCGGGCGCGGGCGCGGGCGCGGGAGAGGCCGTCGCGATGTAGACGAGCGCGACGACGGTCACGTCGAGGACGCCGCCGTCGAGGACGACGCCGCTCTCGCCGCTCGGTTGCAACGTGAGCTGGACCTCGAAGGCGGTGGAGTCGCGGACGGCGCGGAGCTCGCCGCGGCGTTGTTTCGCTTCGCGCCGCGCGAAACCGACGACGGCGGCGGCCGCGGCCGCGGCGGGCGCGGACGACGATAGATCACCCTAGCTAGACTACGAGATAGTAACGCGCTACGAAGCTAAGCTAACGCCCGCCGTGAGTTCACTCCACGAGGACGACGTCGTCCCGCGCCGCGCCGAAGACCGCCCGCCCGACCTCCCGCGTCGCACTCGCCCCCTCCGACGCCGCTCGTCGTTCGAACGCTCGTCGCATCGCGCCGCGCGCGTCCTTACACGCGAGCGCTATCCCGTCCTCGGGGTCCATGTCGTCCAGGTCTTTCGATGTCGCGGACGTCGTCGTCGAATCCTCCTTCTCCGGCGTCGACGACGCGCGCGCGGCACCGCGGCGCGTCGTGGAAGACGACGACGACGACGACGACGAGGCCGCGAGCACCGCGGCTCGCACGCTCCGCTCGGTGCCGTCTCTGAACGCGACCAATCGCTTCACGCGCACGCGCTCGGTCGCCCATCGCGGGGACGGGTTCGACGCGTACACCCTGATCGCGACGATGCCGTTCAGCGCGATCCCGTCGGGGGACACCCTCGGGAGCTCGAGCGCGTTCAGCGCCTGCGCGTCGTCCTCGTGATGGCAGTTCTCCATCGCGCGAACGTCTCTGAGAGCCGTGACCCACCGCGACTCCCCGGCGTTCTGCAGCGTCCCCGCGGGCGTCTTCACCGGGACCTTCGTCGCGAGCTTCACCTTGACGGTGACGCTCGACGCGTAGTGGTTACGGAACGCGACGAAGCGCACCGGGCCGGGGGCGTCGTTCACGCGCGCGTCCACGAAGTCGACGCACGGTTTCGTCGGAAGCGACGACGCGACGTCGGCGACGGTGAGGCGCACGGGCGTCGGCGGCTTGCTCGCGGCGGTCCGCGGCGAGTCCGCGGAGATCCGCATCTGCGCGAGCCCCTCGCTCGCGCGCTCCACCGTCATCGCGCGAGGAGACGAGGCGGTGGCGCGGCGACGACTGAAGGCGAGAGCGCTCGCGTTTGAATCGCGCTGCGCGCTTCAAGGCTGGCTTCAGGTGCGTTCTAAAAAACGTTTTTCACCCGTCCCTCGGTTTCAACATTTGATCGCGTCTCCTTTCAACTGACCGATGTACTTGCTTTGTATGGATTGGCCCTCACACAGGAATAAAGCCCTGCGAAAAGGGCTAAGGCGGCGCCCCGACGCGCGCGCACTCCTCGCCGCGTCCGTCGCATCGCGCGCGATGACCGGCTCGGCATCGGTCGCGATGTGCATCGCGACCGCCCACCGCGCGCGGGGTGGGCGAGCGCGTCTTCAGAGCGCGACCGGGGCGCGAGCGATGCGTCGCGCGACGACGCACCGATATCGCTCGATCTCGATCCCCCCCGCCGTCGTCGCGACGTCGCGCGCGTCCTCGGCGGAACGACGCCGCGGACTCGCGGCGTCGTGCTCGACGAAACCGTCGTCGACGAAACCGAAACCGTCGACGAAACCGCCGCATCGGATTCCCGTCGGCGAGCGGCGACGTCGCGGCGCGCGCGTCGCCGCGGCCGCCGCCGCGACCGCGTCCCCCTCCGACGACATCTCGAAGGGTTTCACCGACGAGACCTCGCGCGCGTCGTTCGCGTTCATCGGCGCGGTGTTGCTCAACGTCCTCCTCGGGACGCTCTACTGCTGGTCGTGCTACCTCGTCCCGCTCGAGCAAGCGCTCGGGGTCGGGCGCGGCGTCCTCTCCGGCGTGTTCTCGCTCGCGACGATCGCCTTCACCGCGTCCGTGTTCAAGCTCGGGCCGGCGCTGTACTCTCGGCTGAACCCCGCGGTCATCGCGTCCGGGTCCGCGCTCATCGCCGGCGCCGGGATGCTCGTCGCGTCGAAAGCGCTGTCATACGTCTCCGTGGTGCCGCTGTTCGTCGGTTACGGGGCCATGTTTGGCGCCGCCGCGGGGGTGGGCTACGGCCTCTCCGTGCAAATCTCAGGCGCGGAGAACGGCGCGCGGTCTCTGCTCGGCGAGGGGCTGACGACCGGGTTGGTCACCTCCGCGCGCGCGGGCGGCGCGTTCGTGTTCGCGCCGATAATCAGAGCGCTTCTCGACGCGGGAGGGGTCCAGCTCGCGCTGAGCGGGATGGGCGCGGCGCTGATCGCGTCCTCCGCGCCGCTGTGGTTACTTCTGTCGCTCGGGGGTTTGGACGCCCCGCTCGCAGATCGGAAGCGGGATAAGAACGACGGAGAGAAAACGCCGGAGGAGCTCGAGCGCGACGCGCAGCTGAAACCCGCGATGTTCACGCTGTGGAGTTCTCTCGGGTTGGGGTCGTTCGCGGGGTTGATGGTCGTGGCGCACGCGAGCGCGTTGTTGCAGTGCCACGGCGCCGCGATCGGCGTCGCCACCGCGGGGGTGTCCATCGTGTCTCTGTTCACGACGTTCGGGAGGGTGTTAGGCGGGTGGGCGTGCGACCGCGCGTGGTGCGGCGCGACGAAGGTGTTGCGCGTCGTCCCGTTCGTCGCGGTGCCGCTCATGGCGTGGGGCGCGGGCGCAGAGAGCTCGGTGGTGGCCGCGCAAGCAGCGCTTGCGGCGGCTTCCGTCGTCTACGGCGTCTTCGCGTCCGCGGTTCCCGTCGAGCTCAGGCGACGCACGGGGCCGAGGGACTTCGCGAGGCAGTACGGTAAGGTGTACACCGCGTGGGGCGTCGCCGGTCTCGCCGCGCCGTGGACCGCGGGGTTGTTGTACGACGCGAACGGGGACTACACCGCCGCGCTCGTCGTCGCGATGGCGCTGTGTTTCGGCTCCGCAGTCGCCGCGTTTTTGTTGAAACCGGGGCGGAGCCACGAGGAGTGGGCGGCCGCGATCGAGGCGGGGAAGCGCGCGATCGGGAGCGGGAGCGGGAGCGGGATCGGGGGGGGCGAAGTGGCGGGCAGCGGGAACGTCGCGGGGAAGAGTTGAGTCGACGATCGTTCCTTCCCCGTCGTGTGCCACGTCGGAATGAATATATGATAATAACAACCCATCTTTCCGGCAACACCGGCTAAGTGAGACTATGAACACAGTATGAGTTTAACTAGACCAGAATACGCGACGGGGACCGCGAGTGATATCACGCGAGCCACAGCGAGCTGGGATGGTGGTACAGAAGATCGACGCGCTAGCGACGGTCGACCTCAAAAGAGCGCGACGCGGACCGCGGCGAATCACGCCGCCGCGGACTGGTTCAACGCGCCCCCGCTCTCCAAGCTCTGCAACGACGCGTTCGAGTCGATCCGATGCAACGACCCGCTCCCGTGCATCGCCGCTTGAAGCGTCCCGAAACTCGCTTGACGATTGCACCCGTTCAACCCCAAACCAGCCGTGAGCCCCCCCGTGGCGTTGTGCCACCGCCGCTCCGCGCTCGCGGCGGCGCTCGCGTAGCCGACGAGAAAGTCCGTCTCATCCTCCTCCGCCTCGGAGTCGACCCACGTCCCCCACTCCGACCCCATGAGCATCGTGAGCTCCCCGGTGAGCTCCCCGGATTTGCTCACGAACAGCGTCCCGACCGGGAACGCGTCCGCGTCCGCGCACTCCCTCTCGAGCATCCCCAGATCGGACCCGAACAGCAGCGTCCGCCCTCGATCCTTCGTGCCCCAAAACAGCGCCTCGCCCCCTCTCGCGTCCCTCGCCGCGAGCGTCTTCCCGGCGAGCTTATCGAACAATAGGATCGCGAACGACCCGGGGAGCTGCGACACGTTCAGGACGTCGTCGTCTCCGCTCGGGTCGCTCGGCCGCCCCGCGCCGTACCTGCGCAAGATCTCGTGCGCGGGGGACTCCGCGTCGTCCCCGAGCGTCGCGATGGGGTCGCCGCGAAAGTACACCGCGACGTCGCCCTCGAACGCGACGCTGACGCGCGGCGACGGCGCCACGAACGCGATCCCGTTCGCGCCCGCGCCCAAGACGACCTCCTCGATCTTCCCTCTGTCCCTGCGGAGCGCGACGCGGGAGGGGGTGGGGTTCGGGGGGGAGCGAGCGCGTGAGCGAACGTTCGCGGGAAAGGGAGGGAGGGACGGGACGAATCGCGATCGGGGCGCCGCCGGGGCCGCGTCGCGTTTCCCGGAAGATGGACGAGACGGTTTTCGGTCGACGCTCGCGTCTCGCGCCGCGCGCGAGCGCGGGATTCGCGCGCGAGCGGGGAGACGACGCGCGGACGTACCCGTCAGAGACGCGGTCGCGAAGCGCGGCGAGTTCGCGGTGCACGCGCTCTTCTTCCTCTGCGAGACGACGGTTGGGGCGTCAGCGTCGGCGCGGGGTAAATAAGATGGAGGGAAAAACGCGGAAGGGCCGACGCTTCCGGGAACGAAAAGTCGCGCGTCTTCGCGACGGGAACGCGGACGCACCCGCGGTCGCCGCGGGGATGAAGCTCCCCGACGTGCTCGGCCCGTCGACGCGCGTCTTCAAGCGCTTCCCCCCGCGCGCGTCCAGGCCGGACCCGGACGCGAAGCATGCGAGCATTTTTCCCTCCCTTTCCCGTCGAAGCACGCGGAAATAAATCCCCCCGCCGCGTAATGTGTTCCGGTCGACGCGTAATGCGCGGCACCCCGTTCGCGCGCGCGCGCGTGTTTCGCGGGGGAACTGTTCTTAACGACGCGCACGAGCCTTCTCGACCGCTTTCGTGCGTGCAGCGCTCTCCCGCGCGGACGTGAGTGCGTCGCGGCGGACGCGCATTCGTCCCGCTTCTTTGCCTCGCTTTTGGACTTTATGGTCCGAGTCACCCGGGGTAGTCAATTCGCGAAGCGTGCAACGACGCGCGCGCTCATTCGTCGACGGCGACAAAAAAACGCGCTGCGCCAATCGTGACTCCGCGTTCCTGGAAACACTCGCGCTCCTCGGTGGTAATAATCGAGATCGTCCCCGGGGGGTTCCATCGAGTTGGCAGAGCGAGAATCGCCTTTTCTTTTCCATTCGATTCCACGTCGGAGCTTGAACCCCCAACGGACGGGTTATTTTATCCAGTTTTGGGTAGGCTTTGTCGCGAGATATTTCTGGTATAGAAAAAAGCAGGGAGTCGAAAAATGGGCCGGTTAGGTTAAAAAATATCTTCCACGAGCCGCGAGCTGACGAGGTCGATAACCTTATCTAAGGTTATGGGTAGGATTTGCAGTTCTCTTTTCGTCCCGCCTGATGACTTTGGCACACCCACCCACGCGACGCGCGCGGCTGTCCCCCCCAGGACACCCGAGAGAGAGCATGACGATCGGCGACGCGCCGGACCCGTTCGACCTCCTCGCGCCTTTGCCCCCGAAGAAACCGCCGGTCGCGGAGGCGGCGGAGCTCCCCGAGCGCGCGCCCGTCGTCCCGGAGACGGCGCCGAGCTCGTCGATGCTTCAGCACGCGGAGGCGAAGCTCGCGGGCGAGCACGCGACCCCGAGCGGGGGCGGGGCGGCGGGGGATGACGTCCCCGCGACTGGCGCGATCGCGGAGATGATCCGCGACGCCGTGGGTGCGTGACCCCGTCCGTCCCCGCGCGGACCGCCGAGGAATCCGTCCGTCCGATGCCCGCGCGACTCGGTCGTTGTTAGCGCGAATTATGGAAGGAGATCTCGCCCGCGCGCCCCTCCCGCGCGCTCACCCCCGCCCCCCCGCTTCCGCGAACCCGCAGAGAGCTCGATGCGGAAGTTCACCGGGAACGTCGCGAACGCCCTGGAAGAGATAACGTCCCGCTTGACCGCGATCGAGGGAGCGCTCGAGGCGAACGACGAAAACGTCAAGGCGCTCGCGGAAGCGACGGGCGAACTCAAGAGCCTGGCGCGCGCGTTGGAACGGGCCGTCCCGGAGGAGTCGTCCACGGCGGCGCCGGCGCCGGCGCCACCGATCGCGGAGCTCGTGGAGAAGCTCTCCGTGTCGCCGACGCCGACGCCGACGCGCGCGCCAGAGCCGGAGCCGGAGTCCGCGGCGGCGTCGGCGCCGCCGGAGGCGCCGCCGGCGGTCGCCGTCGGCGTCCCGATCGTCGACGCGCGCCCTTCGCCGTCGTACCAACAGAACCTTTCGCCGGGAGCGGGGTCCTGGGCTCCGGCTGGGCCGCCGCCGCCGCAGCCGCACGGGATGCCGCCGCTTCCTCAGTCGCCGCCGTCGCCGGCGTACGGGTCTCCGTACGGCGGCGGGGGACCGCCGCCGCCGCATCATCAACCTCACCGCCATCACCACCCGGCGCCGCCGCAACACCACTCGGGCGGCCCGCCGCCGCCGCATCACCACTCGGGTGGCCCGCCGCCGCCGCCACCTCCGCCGTCGTACGACAGAGGCCCGAGCCCGCCGCCGCCGTACCGCCCTGGGCCGCCGCCGGGGCGGCACGCGCCGCCGGCGTCGCTTCAAAACACCCAGGTCAAGGTGAGCATGGAGAAGATCGTGGACGACTTCGCGAACATGGGGTTCACGCGCGAGCAAGTCCGGGGGGTGATTCGACAGATGCAGGACGCGGGGCAGCCAGTAGATCTGAACGTCGTCCTGGACCGGTTGATGAACCCGGACCGATACGGGGGGCGCCGGTGACGAGGGAGGGCGAGAAGGAGAGAAGGACCACCGGAAGAAGACAGACGACGGGAAGAGAAACTCTGGAACGCCCGCGAATGAATAATCACGATAATAGAACACACTAAGAAGAAGCGACGCGCTCGCCGCAGCACCAGGACGCGCGTCGCGTCGCGTCGCGTCCCGTCTCAATACGACTTCAGCGCCGGGTCCGTCTTCATCTCCTCGAACTCCCCGATCTCGTCCTGCCTCAGCACCGCGTAGCACATGTGCGTCGTGAACTGCCACTCCGCGAACGCGGCGAGCGTCGTCATCTCCGTCGCGTTCTTCCGCAACGCCGCCTCGCTCTTCGCCTCCCTCGCCGCTCGAGCTTCGATCACGCTCGCGTCTAAGCCGTCGTCTGGCGTCGCGTGAAACGAGAGGCGCACGTGCGGGGCAGACGGCGCCGCGTCGCCCGCCGCGGCCCCCGCGCCGTCGGACGACGGGACGTAGAGGTTCCACACCCACTCGAACGCCGCCCTCGTGCGGCCCATGTGAAACTTCGACGTGACGATCAGGACGTCCCGCCACCCCCGCGGGATCGCGTGCGACGTCAGCGTGAAGTACGCGTTCCCGATCGTGTCCATGGACGCGGTGTCTTTCAACATCTTTGCCCGCGGGACGCCGCGGTCCGCGAGGTACGTCGCCATCGCCGTGGACTCGTGCAGCAAGAATCCGCCCTTCGCGAGCGGCGGAGGCTTGTGCGGCGTCGCGCTCCCGGCGAGGACGACGTAGGGAGCCTCCCTCTTCGCCGCGACGTGCCGGTCGTACTCTTCCTTCACGAAGTCGAGCCGGGACGTGACCCACGCGGGGAGGCCGCCGTCGTCCGTCATCCCGCCGGCGACGACGATGATGGCTTCGTACGTTTTGTCGCCGTCGCCGTCGCGCACGGCCGCGCCCGCGCCGCCGGACGCGGCCGCGGACGCGACGAACGGCGCGGACGCGAAGTGGCGATGGGAGCGTTCGCGCGCGATCTCCCACCTCGTCACCCCGCGCGCGCGTCCGCGCTCGGAGGACGACGGCGTCCAGGTCGCGGACGACGACGAGGTCGTTAACGACGCCCGCGCGCAGAGGTCAGGTCGCGTCGCCGGCGTCGAGCCGGGGTGACGTCTCCATCGATGCGCCGCGCGGTGGACGGCGGCGACGCGCGCGGGGGTGGCGACGCGCGCGGCCGCGGTCGCCATCGCGCTCGCGCGCGCGCGCGGTCGAAGCGGAAGCGCGCCTGGATATCGCGAGTGGGGGACCGCGATCGAGCTGATGAGTTGTCTTGTCGAAAAACTGTCGAGATAGGGTTTCGGGATCACTGCCGGCCGCGCCGCGGGACGGCGACCATGTGTCCCGGTCCCGTAACTCCAGCTCAAGGTTTTAGCCTTGAGCAAGTGCGGATGATTGCCAATCTACATATGTGGCAAGAGGTTCAGTACAACGAGGCGAGCAGGGTTATCGCGTTCACGCAAGTCGTGAGCGATGGAGAAGGGACTCGCTGCCCGTCCAGGATCAACGTGTACTACACCACCCGCTGCGTGGGCACGGTCATTCAGCATCCGAGGCGCGAACGCCGGACTCAGATGTTCCGAAAGAACTGCACATACGAGGAGATGGAGGCCATCTTTATCAACCCGAGGGTGCACACGGGCAAAGGGTACTACGAGCGAGAAAATGTCCCCGCCGTCGCCACTCGCCGCGCGGAAGAAGTCGACCGTGAGGAGGCGAACTGGATCGCAGACTGCCTTCGCCTGGAGTTGCAAGACGTCGAAGGTCACATCGCGGAGATGACCGCGTGCCGCGACGAATTCAAAAGACGCCTGAACGCCATCGAGCAAGCCGAGAGGAAAAACGACAAGAGGCTGAGGCTGAGAAGAAGAGGCAAGCGGAACGGGTTGAGGCTGAGAAGAAAAGACAAGCTGCTGAGAAGAAAAGGCAAGAGGAACAGAAAGCTCTCCGACGCGAGCGCGGCCTGTACGCACATGCCTACACCTTTCATAACGAAGATGTCAACGAAAATTTTGACGAGAGCGTGAGCTGCATTGCGATGGGCGACAGGGCCACCTTGATGGTTTACGACCATGGTGGGTATTCCTACACCGAGGGTATGCCGACCGGGCTGTACAACAAATTGCACCATCGCGGTGCAAATCAGCCAAAGCCTACGTACGTCGCGATGGGCTCGATGGATCGCTGGTACGTTCGGTACGACAGCGGCGTTTCACAGTGGAACAATGTACCTAATTCTTTGACCGATGCCATCAATGAGAATCCTACAGTGCCGGTATGCCTGGCTTTCGGCCGGGTCCATAACTCGTATTGTGTCTTATGGTCAGACGGCACTTGGTCTTGGTGCAACGTGCCCGCCAAGCTCGAAAATGTGCTAGGGTACAAAGGTCGCGATAAGAGTGCCCCGAAGTTCGTGTCCCTCGGTCCTAACGGCGAGTACTTCGTGAGGCTGGAAAACGGTAAGATGTGGTGGGGCAACTTCGATGACGAAAGCATCTATGACAACGATATGAGTGATCGCATCACGTCGATCCACTTCGGGGCAGACGGCACTTACATCGCGCGGTACACGTGAACGACTAGCCCTATAGGTCTTATAGCAATTACTAGAACGACTAGGGCAAGTTGTACGAGTTGGTAGCGGCGGTTGACCACTCTTGCTCTTCCCCTTTGAAATATTCAAAGTAGCAGAACTCCCTGAAAAAAGTTCGACTCCTCACTCAACGACCGCGCCCCCCCCCCCCCCCCGGGAAAGGCCGCCGCGACCATGCCCGTCGTCCACGCGCGCGTGGAGACCGAAACCCTCGCGTCCCTCGTCTCGCGACTCGCCGTGTCCATGGGGTGCCTCGCCGCGTCGTCCTCGCGCGAACCCCACCGCGCGTGGGAAGAGACCAACGCGCGCGTCGTCCTCCAGCCGGGGCGCCCGCCCCCGAACGCGAACGCGAACGCGTCGTCGTCCGCGCCCGCGCATCGCGTCACCCTGGACGCCCTCCCCGGGGTCGGACTCCCGGACCACGACCCGGGGGGCGCGTTCATCGCGCGCGCGTTCAGAGGCGACCGCAGGGCGAAAGCGCAAGCGTCCGGGTTCG